AATCACCACCATTGGCTATGCATTTTCCCTCATAATGTAAAAGAGCCTGTATGATACGCTCTCAACAATCTGACCCACTGTCACCACTGCTGAAAGTCAACAGCCAGCGCCTCACTGTGGCTGTGCTCATATTCACTATTTCATCTCAGTAACAAATAAGAAACCATTAGTGAATGCCAATGAATGCAATTTTTTCCACAGAGGAATTCAGTGACACACCATTGCTTCACAGACACTTCCATGTCAGATGCTATTTGTCAGACTGTTTCTTTGCTGTCATCTGTCACACATCAACAAAATGTAATGGAATATTGGTGGAAGGGTTCGACCTCTACTGCCAATACTGTCACCAATAGCCAGCTCTGATGTTATGTGCCAAGGTAATAAAATAGGAGGCATTATTTTTGGAGCAGCCCTTGCAAAACATACAGTATTGTTAATATGCAAGTAATGAAATATTTTAATTCTTAATGTTTTTCTTAAGAAGTTAAAAAAAAAAAAAAAAAAAAAAAAAAAAGGAGAGAAAGAAACGAAAACATAAAACTTGTGGAATATTTGACCTTGTTGTGAAATCAAGACACCTGGCTGGTTCAAAGGCAGTGGTTTCAATTCTCAGAGCGGCATCAAGGTGTTCATTAGAGAGTTCTGATGAAATTTTACTCTTCCTGTACTTTATCCTTGACAATCATTGTTCAAAATGTGTGTTCTGCCAAAAATCAATGACATGAATAAAGTGTGATTGTGAAGCGAAGGATGTTTTTCTCTGCTAAGACTGGGATTATGAAAGTCCAATAGAGAGACTTGATCAGATTTTTTAATTGAATATCTGATTGCTGCTCTACATTCTGTTTAAAAATTTGCATGTCATATATTTATATCAACTGGAAATGGTCTTGCAAATGTAAATACATGATTTTTCAGGCAGCCTTGAAACCCCAAGCTGTGGGACGTGGTTAAAATGCCCAGGGGATGGGATGCCAGATAGACCTAGAACAGACTGAGCAGTGGGCGTAAGTGAACATCATGAGGTTTGACAAAGCCAAGTACAACATCTTGCACCTGGGTCAAGGCAACCTTCATGATGAGTACAAGCTGGGGGAATGAAAAGATTGATCATAGCCCTGTTGAAAAGGACTTAGGGGTACTGGTGGATGGGAAGCTGGACATGGGTCACAGTGTGCCCTCGCAGCCCAGAAATCTGACTGTATCCTGGGCTGCTTCTAAAAAAGAGCAGCCAGCAGGTTGAGGGAGGTGAACTTGCCCCTCTACTCCATGCAGGTGAGACTTCACCTGGAGTACTGCATCCAGATTTGGAGTCTTCAGTACAGGAGAGGCATGGACCTGTTGGAATGTGTCCAGAGGAGGGCTACAAAAATGACCCAAGGGATGAAATACCTCACCAGTCAGGGCAGGCTGAGAGCGCTGGGGCTGTTCTGGTGGAACACCCATCCTTGGAAACTTTCAAGGCCAGACTGAACCAGGCTCTGATCACCTGATCTAGCTGTAGACGTCGCTGTTCATTGCAGTGGAGTTGGACTAGATGACCGTAAAAGTTCCTTCCAACTCTAAGGATTCTATAATTCTATAATTGTATTTTCAAATTCTTTTACCAAAACAGAAAGCATGGCTGCATATTCTTTGCTACTCAGAGCCCTGTGTTTAGCCAGTGTCTCAAAATTATACATACATACAATTATGTGCCATCACTTCAGCCAGCACTGCCCCTCCCCTTCCCCACCCCTTGCTTTCATTGATACCTTGTTAATAGTGCACTGATGGTTTTGCTGTTGATGGGTGATGGCTGTGTACCTGTGGCCTCTCCCCAAGAGCTGCTGCCTGCTAATGGCAAGGTGGGGAATGGGCTTCACTGTGAGACATGCTGGGCCACAGGTTGGACACTCCTGCTTTAGGTGAAAAATGAACAAAATGACTAGTGGTATCATGAACTGACTCAATAAGTTGCATCGAAGAAACAGTGCATGTAAATATTTATAATTGAACAATCAAGGCTGAAATAACTAAACTTAAATCTTAACATGTTCCTAAACTATTTCAGGTATATCTTGGGCCTTGTTCAAGATCTCTTTCTATGTTATTTTGAAATATCTGGGATATGTGGATGGAATTCAGTATTTTACAACTGTCTTAAAGTAATACTTTATATGGTTTTTTCACAGATGAGGTTTGTGTGATGGCTGAGCTCTAGTCTTGGACAAATGAAATGACACGTGTAAATTACTGAAAGTTCAAACCCCAGATTAGCAGAAAGGGGAATTCTCTGCGTTAGCCTATTTATCACACTTATTACCGGTATTCAAAAGTGAATTGAAACCGAGGTGTCTGTCAGCAAGAAAGGCCCTTAGAACATACCACTTTCTAATCTAGTCTGTAGTTTAAATACTGAAATAACCCTTCAGAAATAGGGTGGTTTTTTTAATTGCTTTTCTTGACCACTGAATACAGCATCTTAAAATATGCCCACATTTTCAGCACTAATTTATTTGTTTTGAATAAGCTGTGTGTTTGAGCCCATAGATTTGCATTCATTACTGTTTTATGATAAGCAAAACACTTATACTACAGGCAGAACATCTGGCATTTTTCTGAGGCTGTTTAATTTTTGTACTTGGTTTTCTTTTTTTTCATGGAACTTCTCATTTTTTCAGTCAAGGTGGTGTTTGTGGTTACACTGCATCTGTTTCCTGTTGTGTATATTCTTACTGTGGCTAGCACTATTCAGAATGGCCTCAAAATGTGAAAGCCACACCATATTGTGGTTAAAGCAGCATAGAGCACTGGAGACATTGCCTCATAGTAGAAGATGGGTTTCACACATGGGGGATTTGGTTGTGCTAGTCTTCACTGTGGTCAGCTGATCCATGTGAGGCTGGAGAAAGTGTATGAATGCAGAAAGCAGTATCAGCTGGGACTCAGTCGTGCAAATTAATTTCAGTCCATGCAAAGATTATGCTGAAAGTTTTTGGAGTTTGATTAGTAATTCTTTGTATTTCGTCACATATTTTATGTGCGTGTTATATCCCTTGCCACTTTGCTTACTCTAGACTGTTTGATACTTTAGCCTGATGAGATTCTATTAAAATCTCCTAACGCATGGCCAAAGTGAGGACAGACCTTGTAGTGCCATGGAACAATTTCTGTGGTGGTACCTAATTGGCAGGTATTTACAGTGAGTAATATCACATGGATGTGTGATATCAGATAAGATGGCAGTTATGTTTCACTGGTTACTACTGTGCATGTTGAGTCGATTAACTTCCCAGTATCTGTCTGTCCCATATATCACTTAGCAAGTACTAATTACTACCATATATTAATCCATTGCAAATAAATGGCTTATCTCAGTAATTTTAGGGAGAGAGTGAAAGTCATCCCAGAAGTTTAAGATGCGTGTTATGGCTAGAAAGGAGTGTAGGCAAAGGAACGAGCAGTTTTCCTTTGTGATAATGATGTTTTCTTAAAGACATGGTAGCATTAAGGACTGTAACTCATGGATTATAATTCTTATGAATGTTAAATCTGTGTCTCCAGTTCTGAAGGTAACCGTTACTCTTGTTTAGGAGCCTCATTTATCAAAACAGAACGTAGAAGGCATGCTGCTAGGAACTGAGAGTCAGCAGATGCTGGAAATTTCTGAAGCCGAATAAAATTGGAAGAGCAGAGTTTGTTTTCAAGAGGGAGTCTGGGAATCAGGCAATTATACTGGGCTCTGAGCCTATCTAAATCTGTGATAGGAAAAGCTATGTTTGGAATTGGTTATCAGCATTAAAGGACGTAAGTTACAGGTTTGGAAATGGTAAATGCACCTTAGCACAAAGTATAGCTGCAAGTACTGTGACTCTCAGAAGGATCTTAGTGGAAACACAGGAAAAAGCATTCCACTAAGTAATGCCTCACCTCATTTTTGTGAAACATTTTTATTTATTGGTGTGTGTGTAGAAGTTTGCTGCATGTGCTAGTAGACTGGAGATTTGTTTGTTTGTTTTTGGTAATCCAATTCCTCAAAGTAGTTGACTTAAAGGAAAAAACAAAACAAAACAAACAAACAAAACAAAATAACAAAAAAACAGAGCTCACTCCTAGAAACCAGAGAGTATTCCAAGTCCCTCTCATATTAATATAGGAATTGTGCTTATAAAGATTTGCTTCCCCTCCTAACATACTGAGAGTAAATGTGACAGTGTCTAGGGTTTTATGACCATGAACAGATGTAAGGTAATGTATGGGAACTGCTGAGTCACGGCCTAAAGCTCTGATTGACCACCTGAGGTGAGCAGTACGTCAGCCCTGGGGGCACAGGCGAAGGCAGGAAGGGGTGAGCCTGCCTCCCCCTCTCCTAGACCCATTTAAGAGCTGACTACCAGGGGGAAAAGATCTCTTCTGGAGATCCCTCCTCTGGAGTTTTGCAGTGAGCCCAGGACTTGGGTAAGCTTTCTCTCTATTCTCTTTTTGTTATTATAATCTGCTTTGCCAAACTCTCTTGTTTATTTCATAATTATAACATCTTTATATTCATTGATTATACAGGTAGAATTTAATTATTCTGAAGATTATGGCTTTTTTTTTTTTAATGTTTTTTTTCAGTGAACTAAAAATAGTTTATTTTACTGACTTGCACATTATACCATATGCTGAGAAAGGCATGAATTTGTTTCTCTGTGCCTTTCCTCTCTCTCCCTTCATTCATAGGCGAAGGGTAGGAGTTGTTCCAAACCAGCCTTCTCATTTCTCATGTGCTAGGACATTTTTCTGACCACAAAACATCATCCGTCTGACAGAGTAATGGTTGTAACTGCACTAGTCTTTAAGATTGAGCCATGGGAAGAATGGGAAATCATATAGACTTGTCTATGGCTATCTCATTCCACCAAGGCAAGACCAAGAGAGAGATGTGAAAACAGTAGTTTATTGTTATCCTTTTTTAAAATCTTAAAATATCCTTGGGTAACGGGAAGTTTTTTTGCATTTGTGTGTATTCATAGGTGATGAATGCTGATGGAACTGGGAGAAGAGTTCTTGTAGAGGACAAACTTCCTCACATCTTTGGATTCACGTTATTGGGAGACTATGTTTATTGGACAGATTGGCAAAGACGCAGCATTGAACGTGTGCATAAGCGGACAGCAGAAAGAGAAATCATCATAGATCAACTGCCTGATCTAATGGGCCTCAAAGCTACTAATGTACACCAGATAATTGGTGAGTGACACTACAAATCATGCTAGTATAATAAAATTGAAAATTTCACCGGTGTCCTTTTGAAGGGATCGTTTTATACCAGGTCAGATTTCTAGAATGGGGCAGAATACAGTTTCTTCTCCAACAGCTGCAGGCTGCAGTTTGAAGGAGTGTGGTAGGTCTTTTGTGTGGTGCTTCAGTTCTCTAACCTGGCTGAATAGTAAGACAAAAAAAAAACACCAGACATTCCCTGTGTCCATGACACTCCCATCCATTCTCCTGCTTAGGTAATTGGAGCACCTCATAGGTCTGAACACCCCTGGATCCAGTAAGGAGAGGAGGATCAGGGAAAATGAGAACAGCCAGCTGTTAGATTAGCCCAGATGTTTTTGGAGTTGTATCTGTAGTAGGAATCATCCTGCAATCTGAACATGTGCTCTTGGTGATCAAGAGCTAAGAATGAGCCAGTTTTAGTCTGTTCAGTGTTTTTCAAATGAATGCTGCAAAATCATTTTTAAAAACAACCAGAAGCACATTATGCTCTGTGGTATTTATGGAATGAAAACACAGGATCTAATTTCAAATTGGTTTTCAAAACACTGATAGAGTTGAGTTGTGGCATCACAGAACTTGTCGCGTTCCCTGAATATCCTGCCACGTAGGCAGGGCTTTCACTTTCTTGGTGCCACATCTGGTTTGTACCCCATGGAGTTAGTTAAATGCAGTTGAGGTGTATCTTTGCATTGCTGCTACGTGAAGATGCTTGGCAGTACATGTATTTGAAAGATAACCCTCTTTCCAGCTGCTTGGCTAACTGATCTTGGTAATGGCGGGTGAATTTCTGGCGCATGCAGGTGTATGTGCTAATATTGCAAAGAGCTGCTTTGCTAGCTCCTGGAAAGAAGAGGCCATTAAGTGGATGTGAAAATAATCTCTAAATTTTCCATCCCTAGGAACGCAGATGGGGTACATAATTAGACCAATGTGTTATTAAAAGTGACAGGACTTGCACTTGTTTTCTTATGTATTTGCCTTCACTTCTGTGCTTATGCTATGAATCAGTATTATCGATGCTTGAGGCCTGATCTCATCCCCTGTTGCTAGGTTTATTTCAGGAAAAGGAGTGCTGGTTTTCCAGCTAGATGAATTAACATCCCTCTAAAAGACTAGAAGAAACAAAAACAAATTCATTCAGGACAAAAAGTGGAAAACTACTTCTGTTTCTTAAAGGGCTCATGCTGTTGTTGATGCGTGTGAGGTCTGACTTTCTCTTCCAAATGAAGACAACGTGTAATGATTGCTTTTCCTTGTGTTGCATGCTTAGGTACAAACCCTTGTGCAGAGGATAATGGTGGTTGCAGCCATTTGTGCCTGTACAGACCACAAGGCCTTCGCTGCGCTTGTCCCATAGGCTTGGAGCTCATCAATGATATGAAGACCTGCATTGTCCCAGAAGCTTTCCTTCTGTTTTCTCGGAGAGCAGATATTAGACGGATCTCTTTAGAAACAAACAACAACAATGTTGCTATTCCGCTTACTGGAGTTAAAGAAGCTTCAGCTCTGGATTTTGATGTGACAGACAATCGAATTTACTGGACTGATATTTCATTGAAGGTAGAGATGGAAGATATTCTGAATTGGCTACTAACTTGCTGCAAGGTTTTTGAAATAGATAAGAATGGATTGACAAATATGTTTTACGAGATTCAAGGGATAGGTAGGAGAGCTGGTTCCAACTAGGAAAGCATTCTCTCATGTAAATCATTTAAATCTAATGTGCACGTTTCATGTAAAGGATAAGTTTGCAAAAATGAAGTTTTACGGCAGAAAGCTGAGAAGAGTATCAAACAGCAGGAAGTCTTTGAGATTAAAGATTTTTTTTGTCAAATGTGTAGGTCATTCTGAAAATAATGCCTCCTATTTATTTCCATGGCAACTACAATAGATACAAAGATCATACTCTTCAATAGAGCAAATTTTCAGCTACAAAACACTATCTTGCAATGTATTCACCACCATTAGCTATTTGTTTTCATTGGTGATGAATAACAGCCTGCTGCTGGGCTCATAAAAATCTGCACCAGTAGAAGTAACTCGCTGTCACCACAGCTGAAACGCAACGCTCAGCCCCTCACAGTGACAGGCCTTTGCTTCATGCACACTTTCATGTCAGATGCCATTTTGTCAGACTTTCTGTCTGCTGCCATCTTTCATACAGCAACAAAATGTAATGGAATATTTGTGGGAAGGTTCAGTCTCTTCTGCCATACTGCTAACATCTGCCTTTGATATCAGGGAACAACATAATAAAATAGGAAGCATTACTTTTGGAGCAGCCCTCATATATTTAATGGATCCAGTTTTTTGTCAGAAAGTGAAAATAGGTCTTACCTGCTCATTAACTCGCATACTTACTGCACATAAGACACGTTACAAGATTAGTCAATCAAGGGTAGGGTCTAGACTAACAAATAAATAAAAGGTTGAGGGTAGTTGTATAAACGTGGTCACTAATAGAGTGACAGAAGCCAGTATATTGTCTGTCTGCTACCTCTGTTTTTAGCAAGTCAAGTTATTTACCATGTTTTTCATGGACTGTAGATGTAGTCAGAATTGTGAGCACCAAAAATTAGTTTTTAATGAAAGTAAGTTTTTTCACACTTGGATTGAGACCCATGCAAATAATAACTTGTGGATCTGTACAACAGAAGAATGATAAAAGTTAAAAACCATAGTGTTTAAATTAGTTTGAGAGAGAGAACTTGGCTGAACTATTTAGGTATGATATTCATTTGGAGTATGTTTGAAATGAAAATGAAAGGAAGATCCCACGATCAGTTCTTCTGGGTAATAAAAGTGAAAACTGAAAAACATTTCCCCACTGTGTGCAGTCACAAACTGCGTAATTAGCAGAAAGCACCTGAACTTACAAGTAAACCAAAAATCAAACGTTTAGTTAACTTCTGATGTGTTAGAAGTATAAGAAGTATGTGCAGTGAGGAGTACAAAGGACAAAAAAAAAAGGGAGTCTGGCGCAAAGTATAGTTTTATACTGTACTAATGTTGTTCCTTTACTTTCAGGCTTATACTTATACTTGGTCATAGTAAATTATGGAATGCCTGAACTTCCAAACATAATTCTGGCTTTATTTGCTGTTGTAGAGTGATTGATTATGGTGGAAATTATAAGAAGGCTTTAGAGTAAAAGACCTGGAAGAAATCATGCTTACAGAAATTGAATTAAACCATCAGTACTAAAGCACTTACACTGCTGAGCTAGTGGGCCATTATCTTGTTTTTATCTGTTTGCTATTCTGTCCTGAACTTTCTCATTAGGTTGCTTTAAATATTGTTCCATGCTGTGGCATCGATGGTTTTGTATTGTCCTGGGAGAGCTGAAATATTTCCCTCTCAAAGCTGGCACCAAGTTAAGGTCACATTGGCATGTAGACTGCTTAATTGAACCATACTAGTTATCCCATTTATTTCCCCAGTGGACCACTATTGTAATTGACATAGAATACTTTCATAGAGTATAGTAAATCATTACTTCTGAATAGCAGCATTGTTTGCCTTGCAAATAAGTAGCACATTGTATGATCTTCTTTCCTGTGAGATGCCTAAAATCTGAAAATGCTTAAAATGCAACAAAGAGAACAACCAGCTTAATGACAGGTTGGTAAAATTTCTAATTTGCCTGTGTATCTTTACTTCCCCAAAGACCATCAGCAGAGCATTTATGAATGGCAGCGCACTGGAGCATGTTGTAGAGTTTGGCTTGGATTACCCTGAAGGCATGGCCGTAGATTGGCTGGGGAAGAACTTGTATTGGGCTGATACTGGAACAAATCGCATCGAAGTGTCAAAGCTGGATGGCCAGCATCGCCAAGTGTTGGTGTGGAAAGATCTTGACAGTCCCCGGGCACTGGCACTGGATCCTGCAGAGGGGTAACTTGCTAGTTTAACTTCATGTTTATGAACGTTGAAAAACAACATCTTAATGCTTCCTCTAGGGCATGTTAGTTAGGCTTTGCGTTTAAATCCTAAGAGAATTGAGCTGGGGAATATAACCTGGTAATTTAAAATATGAGGGCTGAAAGAGTATGTTCTTAATGTCCTGAATAATCATTAAGAATATTACACAGAAAATCAGGGAAGCTCATTAAAAAGGGATTTACATTTAGTTTTTTAATTAACCACAGAATCAAAGTAGACTTGGGTTTATGGAACTCGTTAATGAGAAAAGGGCCATTGCGTTGGAAAGAAAATATTTGTCCTTTTTAAAAATGAGGATCCTTTAAAAATGTTTTTTTTTTGTTTGTTTTTTTTACAAGTTAGGATCCAAAAAAACATTTTAATGGATTTAACCTGACAGTAAGCAAGAAGTCTGAGAATAAGAAAAAAGTTTGCTTCTTCAGATAAGGGAGCCTTTTTTTCAATCTAGCTAAGTGAAGCAAAGATAGGGGAAAAAGTACAAACAATTATATAACTACCTTTCATGAAAGTGAAGATTTCCTGTGAAGAAATTGCTGAGTTGGATTCAGGTATAACAGCGAAAGTGAGGCAGTAAGCTGGGGGAGGAGGAGAAGAGGGGAACAAGGCAAGGTAAAATTATTTAGCTTTTGAAAGAGCTCTTCTCCCATGAAATGCTCATTTGACATTAACTAATTACTACAGATCATTTTTGATGTTATACCAGCACTGTATTATTCTTATTTCACAAATGAGGGAACTTAGACATTTTTTTTTTTTTTTACAAATGAAAGAATTCCATTTTCAGGTGCTGTGAATTTATCAGTTTCTACTGACACTATCGGAATTGCAGCGATACAGAAATCTCAGCACCCTGAAAACCTATCCCTCCTGCTTAGTTTCAGCAAGGAAGTAGCAGCTGTCTTCATGCTTAGTTGAAACAGGTTCTACTGTTACCTCAATGAGGCACAGAGATAAGATTCAGCCCCGATATGCCAGAGACTGCCTTTACTGGTACATCAGAGACCATTCAAAACCAGATTACTAGATCTGCTTAATTGGCACAAGGGCTTGATTCAAGTTCTATGCTAAGAGCAGTTTTTTCCAAGGATTAGTACAATTCAGTGATTTTATTTTATTTTTTTCTAGTGATCTTCACCACAGTCGGTACAATTTAGTTTAATTTTAGACCAGCGTCTTCTTTTGGTTCTAGAGTCCAACTATGTCATTATAGTTCATATGCAAGTTTTCAAGACATTGCTACAGTAGAGTTAATTCTAACACATGAGTTCATGCTGTCCACAACTTGCAAAATTTTTAAATATTAGAAGGAAAAATGTAGAAGTATTCCTGGTGTCTGAAGAGAGCATACTTGACGGTCAGTGGTGGAGCAAGCTTTGCCACTGTTTATTGGTTTAAATTAAAAAATTGACAGATGTTTATTACTAAGGTCATTGAAGATATTAAGATTGACCAGTTATGTCTCATTTTAAAAATTATGTTGGCTTTACATTTTGAAAGAAGTGAGCAGCTGCTTGACACCAGATGTCATACTGTATACAGCCCTTTAACTGTTCAGTGCCTAAAGAAAATGTAAACGCACATAGGTCTGTGCTTCAGAGAGTGGTGAGGGTACTGGAACAGGATGCCCAGAGAGGTTGTGGATGCCTCGTCCCTGGAGGTGTTCAAGGCCAGGTTGGATGGGGCCCTGGGCACCCTGGTTTAGCATTAAACGTGGAGGTTGGTGGCCCTGCATGTAGCAGGGGGTTGGAGATTCATGATCCTTGAGGTCCCTTCCAACCCTGGCCATTCTGTGATTCTGCCAGATGGCATAAGTTGGAATGTGAATACATAGCTATACAGTGTTGTTTCACTCTGCCTTCAGCAAAAATAGAGCATGCTGTTGAATAGCTGATTGACTTAGTTACAAGCAGATGAGCTTATTAACAGAAGTACTGTGAACTTCTTCCTTTTTTGAATTCCTGAGTTGATGGACAGTGAATAAAAACAGAAGCTGAGTGCTATGGAAAGCTTCTTGTTAAATAAGCAGGTATAGATGAACATGCCCAACTTCTAGCCTTCTGCCTCCTAACTGATGTGCATGGATTAGTTAAAATTGAAGTACTTTAATGCAAAATTTGCTGGTGAAAGTTCATCTCCAAATGGAAAAAATAACATTGGAAGCATTTTGAGAAAACCTGACTAATTTCCTTGTTTGTATTTTGGAAAATATATATATATTGTAATGGGGCCTATTAAATATTTGGATTTACAAGTCTTTGTTTTCTTTTACTCTTTCCAAGGATTTTTGCGTAGTTTAGTTTCTTCCCTTGAGTTGCTTGTTGGTTTTTTTTGTTGTTAATTTTTTTTTTTCCTTGGCATTTCAATCAGGTTTATGTATTGGACTGAATGGGGTGGTAAACCGAAGATTGATAGAGCTTCTATGGATGGCAGTGACCGGACTACTCTGGTACCAAATGTGGGACGTGCCAACGGCCTAACTATTGATTATGCTAAAAGACGACTGTACTGGACTGACCTTGATACTAACCTGATAGAATCCTCCAACATGCTAGGTGAGCTCCAGAGTCCTGGGCAGCCTCACAGGAATACTGTTGCTGTTTTACAGCTCCCCGTGACAGTTTGTTGCTTGATAAAAGTCCTCAGACAAAAATAGATTTTCCCAAACCCACACATCTTCAATATTTGCTTCTAAAACTAATGCATACACAATAAAATATGTAGTGGTGCCTCTATTTTTTTGTCAAAAGTAGTTGCTCGTAGTTTAAATTGTACCAACTGTGTATATGTGTTTTCAGTTATATGTAGGACAAAGCTGTCAACTTTATGTTCTGGAGTCTTGTTTTTTCTGCTCTGAAGAATGTTGTCAAATACATACCAAACACTTAATCATGTCTAGAAAGTCAGAGAAAAAGTTAAGGTACCAACAGCTTTTTGGTTAGTTTTCAGAATGTAATTTAATACAGTTTGATTTTAAACTTTCTTGGTATCCCCAGGGTTCAGTAATTTTTTCCTACTATTCTGCATGCTGGAGAGTGTTCCTGGCTAGTACAGGAGTGTTCTTTCTCATATAAAGGTCTGTGTAACTGTTTTATAAATTGTTTCTTGCAGCTAAAATGAGATGGAATATTCTGTTCTTTCATTATCCCAGGGAGGGATTTTGTGGGTATTGTGGACCCACATCCTATCAACTTTGCCCGCATCATGTTTTTAACACCTTTGTACCCATGGAAGCAGACTGCTTTGTATTTCAAATTATTCAGATTATTTTTATCACTAGCCATTACTTAAGGTTAAAGGATTATGTCTACTTTAAATAGTATGTTACCAATAGTGGGAAAAAAAGCAAGAAAAAAATCAAAACAGGGAAGTGCATTACTAGGAATTGCCTGTAATATAAATGCTTTCCTTTAGCCTTTCATGAATTTTGGTGTGTTGTTGAGGCTGGGTTAGTTCTCCCCAATGTATAGTGGAACTGGACCTAGAATTAGAATTTCACCCTTCCTGTGGCCAATGACAGCAAAGTACAGGGCTGTACATCCTCCTCTGTGTAAAGAGGGAATGGCTTCCTGCTTAATAGTCTCCTGTTCATTTTCTGTGACTGGACAACAAGAGATTCCATGGTAATAAAATGGTTTAAATCAGTGTGGTGGAAATCTTCCCTCCCAATACCCTGTTTCTTAAGGTCTTGATCTTCCCACGGTATTCACTATTAACTGTCTGTTACCATGAGATTCTGAGTGTTCTTAATACAATGTAGAATTGTATTAAGCTCATAACAGTTCTGTCTCTGTAAGCAGTGGGCAGAGAGATCTGTGTGTGGTGCCGGAGATGCTGAAGTGGAAATACAATGTTGCCTTCAGTGGGATGTTGTTCCTTTCAGGGAGGAGAGAAAGGGCAGAATCTTTGTGAGAACACCGATAACTTCTAAGACTGAAACTTTTTTATTTAGTAGGATGTGTTCAGTTCTGTGAGTTACAGGCAGGATTAACGCATTTCTGTGCTCTGAGACTTCAGAATGGCCTTTTGAATATTGTATATTGCTTTATGATTTACTTTTGTAACAGTGAAATAGTACTGTCTTTTAACCTTTCTGCACATATGGCATATCTAAAGCATTATCCAGCATCAATTTTGTTTGAAAATACTAATGCTTTTTTTCTCCCTTCATTTTTGGAAACAGGTCTTGACCGTGAGATTATAGCTGATGACTTGCCTCACCCATTTGGCTTGACTCAGTATCAGGATTACATTTACTGGACAGACTGGAGCCGGCGTAGCATTGAACGAGCCAACAAGACAAGTGGCCAGAACAGAACTATCATCCAAGGGCATTTGGATTATGTTATGGACATCCTGGTCTTCCATTCCTCCAGGCAGGCAGGCTGGAACGAGTGTGCCTCTAGCAACGGCCATTGCTCTCATCTCTGCTTAGCAGTCCCTGTCGGTGGTTTTGTCTGTGGGTGCCCTGCTCACTACTCCCTGAACTCTGACAACAGGACTTGCAGTGGTAAGTGGTGATGAAGGAAAGTGAAATGCAGTAGCAGATATGCTTACTAATGGATGCAAGCACGGTACTTGCAGGAAAGAAGAGTTTTACTTTTAGGTGAGATGGTCCTGCTTGCCTTGCTGATAGCCAAGTTAAGTCTAGTTTCTAATACTGGCTGTGTATTTGAAAATATTTTGTTGTCCTCTCTACCTTCAAAAAGAGCAGGGCATATGTGACTGGATAAAGATGGCAATAAAAGCATGCATTTTTAAGTATTTTTTTTTTAATACTGAAATCCTTCTAACTTGAAAAGGTAGGGGAAAAACTTAAAAGGAAAAAGGAAATCTAGCAACACACCAGTGTCTCAAAAAAAAGAAGAAAAATAGCTCGAGTGAAACTTTTCAGTGACTCGAGCCAAATTTGTGTAAGCGGGAAAGCCAGACATGCTTTTGTTTTCATATCTGCCAACCCTTATCAAGTGCTTGCTTGTTTTTTTGTTTTTTTCATTCTAATCTTGCCTGCTATGTGTGGTAATTCAGTGTGTGCACTCTGGAGTTTGCATAGCCTTCCTGTGGGTTAAGATTTAATTCTGTAGTGCTTCTGTTTGCTGGTTGGTGTGATGCTGTGGAAGGTCCCGAAGGTGAGTTCTTTCCCTAGTGAGAGGAGGCTGAGCCCCACTGCCTCTGCAGCACTTCACTTTTCTCATCTCAGTGCAGCCAAGTCCCATTTTTCTTCATTGTTGTGCAGAATATGAACCACAAGGCCCCTCAGGCTGTGTGTAATTAGTTTCTTACCAAATAATTTATCCATCTCTCAATAACTGTCTGCCAGTGAAGCACTCACAACTTTGGCAGGGATGCTGGATGGCTGATTTCCACTGATGTCATTCAGATTAGTTGGTGGGTTAAGAGATTCATGGTACCGAGAGAGGCAGATTGTATCTCATCTGCATTATGCCTGAGTAGAGAGATCCAACTGTTGTTTTAAAGTCAAAAGCAGGGTACCCAGTTCCATGAATGCCACTTCATAATTTTTTTTGAAAGTCGTGCTCCTTAGAGAAGCCTGCTTTATCCCCCAGTGTGTTCTGTACTCCTTCTTTCCTTTTCAGTTACAAGAGGTGCTTGCCTGACACCTGGATTTTTGTACATGAACATTCTCACATCTTCCTGCAAGACAGAAGCACAGCTGACACCACTCCAGTGGTTGCTGTGATGTTATAGGTAGAAGAACTTGATTTCCAGTGGAAAATAAATAGCAAAATGATGTTTTCCTGTAAGAAAGCACTCTCAATGCAAGTGGGGAGAAAAGTAGGAAAGGAAGAAGAAAAATAAAGGAAATAGTTGTGAACAAACAGAACTGTCTCCCTTCAGAATGGCTCAGTCTTTCATAGTGTATTAGGAGTATTCCTTTTGCCATGTTCAAATCTGGTAACTTTCCAGCTTCTCATTTGTAGGTAATTGGAGACTTAGGCTTCTCTGCTTATAATTTAATTTTACTCTTGGCCATTATAATTGGAGCATGAATCATTTTAACTTTCCCTTGCCTGTTTTACTTGCTTATATATTCCCAAACATTATTATTATTATTATCCCAAGCCCTGTCTAGAGGCCAGTTCCTCCATTCTGGATCACCCTGCTCATATGTGCATAGATTCTTTCAATTATGTGAAGGACACACTGAACTCACTAGATCTGGTATCTCATCAGACCTACCTTGTGTTGTAAAGTTTGAATGCAATATTACACAAGAGATGTGCTCCATTTTGCGTTCCATTTGCCCTCCAAAAATATGGTTAAATTATGTGACAATTTGGAAAGAAAATGATGAAAACTGGGAAGTGATTTCTGAAATTGGTACTGTTTCAGAGAAGTGGGGCAAAGTTTAGTCTTTATAATGAGCCATCAATTCAGAGTAGGAAGCCTGGTGAGCTTAGACAGTGGGAGGGACTCTCTGGATAAAAGAACAGAAAATATTAGGTTCTTATGATGGTGTATTTGTCTGCACTTTTATCTTAAGCTTTTTTTTCCTTAGCATTAATCTCTTAGCTGCTTGACATTGATGTCTTCTCAATCTGTTAGTTTGCAATACACATTCAATATAAAGTTTTGTTTGCTTTTTATGTGTTTTATTCCATAGTGTAGAGCTAAGAGGAAAAAGGCTTAAATTTTTGCAGAAACATTTGGAGGAGAAATAAGGTTTTCCAGAAAGCAAAAATACCTCTCAATTAGGCCTGGTTGTTTTAGGAAGTTAGAATTAAGTGTTAGTTACCAAGGAAACTTCCCTGTACATTCTTTTTCTTTGTTGTTCTTTCCCAGCAGCAGATAAATTTGTATGCCTAAAATAACAAAGAAAGGTGATGTTCTCAGGAAGGCTTTTGCTAACATTCCCTTGCCAAGATATTGTCTTACCTATTTTACAGGCTGGATTGAATGAGCACAGTGTCCCGCAGCTAATCTCTCCAGACTTGTGCTATAGCAAATTGATTGTACAAAATTCAGGGAGGCTGCAAGCTGCATTTCTGGCTGCTCACTCCTGTGCTGCCTTGCGTAGCAGTGGTTCCATGTAAACCATTGCTGAAAAGAGTACTGCGTAAAAAGGGGGAGTTTAACTACATCCACACTTTTCTGACCCAGTTATGTAATACGGGGAGTAATTTCTTTTTAATAGTGTAATAAACAACTATGCCTCACATGCTTACTGCTAGATACAGCTGTTAAATTGCAGTTAAAGAGGATGGGAAGCCCTTATTTTCTGACTTTGATAATACTATCAAACATCAGATAGAGAAGAATAAGTATCATTTTTCCAGGAAATTTTTGCTGGGCATCTGGAAAGTTTTCTGATGCTTTTTTGAATACAGTCGGTGTTCTTAGATAAGCGCCAAGGAATAAGCAAGATAGATAAATCTGAGAAGAGTGAAATTTTTTTTCCTTCAAAAACCCAACCTGCACACAGGTTATGAAGGGGTCGTTGTTCCATTCTGGTGGCAATAGAGAGGGTTTGCAGTAACAAGATGGAAACACCAAATGGCAATCTCTGATCCTTGTAACCTCTAAATAAGGAGCCATTGCTGTGTTTTGATCAGCTTCTTCTGCAGGCAAAGGAATTGAAAAACGAAAACAAAACAAAAACACCAAAAACATATTTTCATACCTAGCAAAAAGTTTAAGTTCAAAATAGTGGAGCTGTGTTTTCCTGGAATCCCTTTGGAATGACAAATGGCTGTTGCTTGAGAGGTGTAGTTGACTGTTAGTGAGGTAATTTTGGCAGAAATCTTAACATTTACTAGACTTGCAACTTACAAAATTATCTTTGCTAGTCACATCTATGTTAAAATTTTTGTTATAATCATTTAAAAGGCTTTTCAAGCTAATTAGAGGGGTTTTTTGTGTTGTGTTTTGGATATACTTGGGTTGTCTTTATTTTTTTGTTTGTTTTTGGTTTTGTTTGTTTTTAAAGGAGGATAAGAGGAATGAAATTTTTGACACTGTGTTTTATAAGGTAACTTTTACTGAGCATAAAAATACTCAATGCTGTTGCTGTGTGTAACCCTTTCCCTCTCCTTTTTTTTTTTTTTTTTTAATCTGTCAAGCTCCTACAACCTTTCTTTTGTTCAGTCAGAAGAATGCAATTAATCGCATGGTGATAGATGAGCAGCAGAGTCCAGATATCATACTTCCTATCCATAGTCTCCGAAATGTTCGAGCCATTGATTATGACCCCCTGGATAAGCAATTGTATTGGATTGATTCACGACAGAATATCATTCGGAAGGCACAGGAAGATGGCAGCCAGGTAACTTGTGGGCAGTAGAATTCTTAAAAGATGCTCTATATCCAAGAATGTATGAGGACACATAAATAATTTAGATCTACAGGTTTCTGGTAGGTTATCAGCTGGCTCTTGGCAAAACAAGTGACATCTGGAGTTTATGGAGTTCTCAATCAGTGAACTGGGAGTTTACTGACAGTAGGAAATGAAACATGGAAAACTGGGGCTGGCCTAAAGATACTCTGGTCCTTCGTGCATTATTTGCATATCCCTGTCTTTTGGCTGGCGGCAGTTGGACACTCCTATGTGAGAGTCATGAAGCATAGAAGAGAAGATTCTTCATAGAAAATGAACATGTCAAGAGAGTGACAGAAAAGTTACAAATGAGAAAGGCACAGAAACATTGACTCTAAAATAAAGAGGCTGGGACTTTGTCAGCATATGGTTGTGTTTAAATCCTTCTAGGTTCTGATGGGGGTAGGAAGAGAGCTGTTGTCAACCACAAAGACACGAGGGAAGGTTGAAATTCGTGACCTCTAAGAGATGTGGCGGGCCAGCTTTAGCAGGGTAAACAAATTCAGGACTTTAGACACACCCTTTCATAAAGGTGTCAAGCCAAAAAAGAAAGCTAGGCAGATCTTCCAGTGAAGTTTAATTTGACGATGAGAGAGTGGAGGTTACTTATGTCAAAAGCATAAAGTTTTCCAAAAAGGTTATCTTAGCCTGTGTTTTAACAATCCTCTTCAAGTTTGTTGACAGTCTAAGTTTGTCTTTCACTTTGACTATGCATTTAAAATAACTTGAAAAGGAAAAAAAGAAAATGAAAGGGTATGAGAACTTGCTAGCTGATACCTTTTCTTGGCAGTTTTCTTCCCATTTATGGTTCACCCTTATTTTATTTCTCTCAAGTTTGATGGCAGTGATGGTAAAGTAGAGCGAGAGGAATTTTAAATGCTGTCTGGCCTTACTTTGCCAGTATTTTTTTATCTTCTTTGCTGCAGCTTTGGGATGTAGATGTTTCTGTTTCAGAGTGCTATACAGTCTGAATTTGGGTCTATCCAAACTAAATGTTGTCAAGAAAGGGGAGGAGGCAGGGAAATTCAGCTTGAATCTCCAACATGGTGGGTATTTGGACTTTTTGGTCAGATTTGCTGAATGTTGTGTGTTGGAACCACTTGATTGCCATTAAAACAAACTGTCAGGACTAAGTCACTAAATCTAATCAAAAGTTTTAATGGAACAACTGGTCCTGTGTGTCTCCTACTTTATGCTAATATTTTGGTGGCATTTTTCTTCCCCTTGGCAATAATTTGATGTGTTATCTATAGCCAGATCCAATGCAGGCAATTATATTTGCTAAGTGTTCTTGTGTGGGTTGTTCTTCTCTCCTTTTTAGAGCCTCACTGTTGTGACAAGTCCAGTTCCCAATCAGAACCTAGACATGCAGCCTTATGACCTGAGCATTGACATCTACAGCCGCTACATCTACTGGACCTGTGAAGCTACTAATGTCATCAACGTGACACGCTTGGATGGGAGACCCATGGGAGTGGTGCTCAAAGGAGATCAAGATAGACCCAGAGCCATTGTGGTGAATCCAGAGAAAGGGTAAGTAGCAGAAATAGTGATATGGCAAAATTCAAGCAGAAAGTTTTAAGAATCAAACTGATGTTTTCTGTTTGTTTGAATAAAAGCAACTGTAACATTTGCTAAAATGTCTTGGTCATATAGCAAAAATATGGAAAGGTCAATTAAACTGTTTTCCTCTAATCATTACTATTCCAGATACATGTATTTCACCAACCTGCAGGAAAGATCTCCTAAAATTGAGAGAGCAGCACTGGATGGAACTGAACGAGAGGTCCTTTTTTTCAGTGGTTTGAGCAAGCCTATTGCCTTAGCTATTGACAGCCAGCTAGGCAAGTTGTTCTGGGCTGATTCAGACCTGCGGAGAATTGAAAGCAGCGACCTTTCAGGTAGAGTAGCACTTTAATTCAGTGATTCATTTGTGTGGGGTGGGTGTGGGGGAATGTAGAGAAAGGTGTTGTCTTTTCCTTCCTGCTATAGAGAGTCTGTACTGTGATTCTAATTGCTCCCTCAGTTCCCAGCCAGGGAATGCGTATGATTCATCCAACGTGCCTTTGCAGTCTTATGCCTCTATCTGTGATTTGCATTATTAATTGTTACACTTGCTGTTTACTTCAGTTTCTCACTGCAAGACCTTTGTGTGGTTTCCCAATGTTAACTCACAAATAAATTGCAGCAGTTTTGGAAAGGGGAGGGGAGAAGTGGTTTTCTTTTATAGGCATTGTTTTTGGTGCAGTGATCTGTAAACTGGGAGTTTCTTGTTAATGGAGAAGTCTTTCCTGCTGAGTTAAAGCAGCAGGTGTGCAGATTAATTATGTGTCCATCCTTTCTGGGACATAATGTGAGAAGAGTAAAGTAAGACTTAACGCTTTTCTGCTCTCAAAAGGAAAAAAACCAAGTCCTTCCAGCCATATAGTTCTCTTTGCCTGCTCCTTAATGTTGGTTATGCTGCTTGTCCGCTATGAGTTCATTTAGCTCTATTTACTATATAAGCAAAACTATAAGCTAACAGCAACGTAGAAAAAGAGAAACAAAGAAAAGTATTCTGTTGATATGAAAAGCTGAATTGATCCAGCAAGCAAACAGAACTTGAGCAAGAGAAGAGGCAAAATTGTGCAGTTAGACTAGGTGGAAGAGATACAGACATCTCCTGTTTACTAGTTAGATGCAGCTAGTTGCTGGATCATATCAACTGTCTTCTGTGACTCGGATAGCAATTCACTGTAATATGAGTTGGCTGAACACATACCTACCCATCTCTTTATGACACGTTGGTATAAACCCCCTCATATTACTGCCTGCGGGTGTCAGCAGCAGAATTTCTACTTCCCCTGAAGTAGGTCCAGCTCCAGTCTGAATAACACACTTTTGCTGAGTGTTATTCAGCTATCACTGAATGCATAAGAAAATAAGGATATACTTTGCAGTCTGTGAGCGAAATTGAAAACTTAGCCAGATACTGGTAGTTTAGAGTATTCCATGGATACCTTCTTTCAAAGTGGAGGCATGCAATCCCATTGACACCAGTGTGGTTTTCAGCCTTTTGTTAAGTTGCAAGAATAAGTTTTTGTTTTGGAAAATGTTTCACTATTTCATGTTTGTTGGTTTAGTAAAACATTACTTTTTTTTTTTCTTTCCCCCAATGATTTGCATATGTCACTGGAAGGTTCAAGATTGCTTATGAACTGTGATACCCTGATTACTTTGTGTTTTAAAACACAAGGCATAAGCTGACCTCAGGATACCTCATCTTGTCCCACTTCTGCTCAAGCAGGATCACCCAGAGCAGGTTGTCTAGGCCTACGTCCAGATTGCTTTTGAACATCTTGCAGGAGGGCATTCCACAGCTTCTGGGCAACCTGTGCCAGAGCTCCAGCACCCACACAGCACAGAATTGCTTCCTGGTGTTCAGAAGGAATCTTCTGTATGCCAGTTTGTGCCCATTATCTCTGATCGTGGCACTGAGCACCACTGAAAAGAGCCTAATTCTTTCCTCCGTACATTGTCCCTTCAAGCAGTACAACCATCTGGTGGTATATCAGCCATTTTCCCTGTTTGTTTTGTTTAAAGATCACTGTTGGATTACTGATGTCATGAAGTAAGAGCTCCTCATTTTGATGAACATTATGAAAAATCTTTCCAAAACCCTTCTTGCTTTTTTGGCTTCTGCACCACAAATGGATTGCTATAGTCACCACGATAAATTGCTAACTGCCGAGATGCATTCCTGCACTTAGGAATGCTGATTAATAGTCTTTTGACTGGCAAAGTAATTTTTTGCATGTGTTATCTTCTTTAAAATGTGCACAATCTCCTGCTATGCTGATTCCATAGATGCCAGTTCTCCTAAAGAGAAGGAGAAATAGAATGCCTTCATGTGGCACAGTCCTTCTTTTGCTCACTGTTCTTTGGGCATTCAGTTGGGTATCAGTTGTACTGCCTAAATTGGAGTTCCTACTGAAGCTTCCTCACATCCTACTGAAGATTCCTCACATAGCTAAGGGTTGTTTACAAAAAGATGACTGAAATTAGCTTCTGACTATGGAAACTATTTGGAAATTAAGTTTTTTTTATTCCAGAATAATTTGTGTGATGTGGAAATATCTGATGATTCTAGAATTAAGTAATTTTTTATTTGGAAATAGAATGTGCTGAGGGTGTGTCCTGTTCTTTGTAGTCGTTTGTTTGTAAGTCTTAAAAGGTATTGCTGGAAAGAGAATAGTGATGCCAGGAGACAAAAGTCTTAATAACATCTCCCTTTCACCTGACATTCCTAATAAGGGGGGCTAGCATCTGGATGAGACAGGTTCAGATGCTCTTGTTGGTTTATGGAAGGTGAGATTTCAGTGTCTCAATTTATTCAGAAATAATCAGCTACACTTGGTCACAAATGTTAGAAAAAAAGATTAAAACAGTAATATAGAGAAAATTTTAAGTTTCAGAGCATTAGGAGCATTTTGCAAAATGCAATGTTGATTAACATGAGCACAGTAGAGCAGGGTATGTGCAGACTCCATTTGGGTAGGTCAAGGTCTTAGTTTAAATTATATTCTTTCCTGTCATCTTTGCATATTCCCCACTTCCCAGCTGAGTTATTTTTCTCTTAAAGATGCAGGTTGCTGTTTCTAACCTTTTCCCTATAAGATGACTCATATTCACGAGGACTGTTGCAGATCTTCAGTTTGCCTTGCATCACTCAGGCTATTAATTTCTTCATCAGTCTGGATTCCTTGAGAATACATCAATGTTATTTCTTAATCAGATCATTGCTGGTGTTATTCCAAATTGGCAAATGAGAGCCCTGTGTAGCTGAGGATTAAAATCTCCATGGTTTGCTTTAGATGTTACCATTTGCTAAATGCTTAAAAGTTCCATACACATTTAGTAAAATTGAGATAAATACATTTTTTGTAGCTTAATTTGTTTTGCAGTTCCTGGCATACTGTTGATTAAAGTTTTCAACAAGCCAAAGATAGAGGGATGAACCTGAGAAAATTATGAAATCATAAAATAGGTGTCTGCTGTCTCATAACAGTATCTCGTATGACTATGGTACAGATACCATGTAACTTTTCTGTGGTATTCATTTATACTAGTATACTTTTAAAGGAAAAAATATTACAACTTGTTGAAAATTATATTGTGGAAGAACATATGCAAAACTATGATCTGCTATATTGAAAATAGAAATAAGCATAGCAGTGAGCAGAGATACCTGAAAACAACAGGATTTGGATGTGTATTTTCAAGCTCTGGTCTAATTTTGAACTGTAATATTGTTATGGCATTTCAAAATTGAAGCAAAATCTGTGTTTGTGAGTATTTTTGTGCTCAGAGTCTAGTAAACCTTACTGAATATTTGAGTGATAATGACCATTGCATGTGAGTTATGAAGCCTTCACCATCTTTGGGCGGTCTTCAGTGTTACTTCTGAAACAGTTGTGGGCTATCTTCTGTTGATATGGACTGCAATGCATGGGTAATGTAGCATAAAAGTCAGCAAATGCTTTCAGAGGCATCAAGCTTCTTGACTGGTGCTGATGTTTGCTGAGGGAACTGAAGAAAGTAAGTCTTCACTAGAAAGAATGGAATGTTCTTAATTTAGCACAAAAACATTTGTGAAGATAATTTAGTTGAAATAAAAAAATACGAAGAAGTCAAAAGTCAAATGTTTACCTTAATCTCATAATTTGTGTGAAAAGTACTAATTACTTTGTCTTCACTTGTATTTTATCTTGCATTTGTTAGCTCAAGTTAATAATGTCTTCTTATTCCCTGCTGAATGCCAAGACAAAGCAGTTTAAAAAAAGAATAGATGAATGAAAAGAAATAACAATTACCATTGCACTGATAAAAGGCTGAGTAGTCTCATGAGAGCTGGGCCCCCAACTCCATATAGTTTCTAAATACAGAAAATGTATCTGAAGCGCAAGAACTGTCTTTTGATGAAAATTATTTAGAAGAAAGATCATGTGTCTGCAAAGCATCAGTTTTACATCAGAGGACCCAAGATTGCATGTAGTTTTATAGTTGGCTTTAACTAGTAGTGTAAAAGTAGTAGAAAATGATGATGTGAACATTATAGAAAACATTTGTGTTAGTATTTTGGTTGATTCCAGTTGAGCTAAGCCACTCTTTTCCTTATGCAGGTGCTAACCGAGTTGTTTTGGAAGATTCCAATATATTGCAACCTGTGGGACTAACTGTATTTGAGAACTGGTTGTATTGGATTGACAGACAACAGCAGATGATTGAAAAGATTGATATGACTGGTCGAGAAGGACGTACAAAGGTCCAAGCTCGTATTGCACAACTCAGTGACATTCATGCTGTGAAAGAGCTTAACGTTCAGGAATACAGTAAGTACAGTTTCCTGTTTGCAAGTGAAAACAGGGCTTGTGGGACTGGAGGCAGGTAATGACTAAGAGAGATGAAGCCTGCTTTTCCTTATCACTGATCAACATCAGTGTGAATCAAAGGGGCCAGAAGTATCATTCCATCTGTTATATTGCTAGAACGGTATTGTTTGCCTCCTTAGTGTGGATGGCAGTAGACATGCAAACTATCACAAAGCATCATGTTTTGTTGCTCTGACAGCTTTGTTGTTATTCCTATACAAGTACCTGGGATTTGAGTGTATATAGGCACAGTGGGAACATCCTGTAACTCCTAGTAGAGGATTGTCTGGATTACAGATGCGGCAGACTACTGACACAGAGTATCAAAGCTGTCACTATTAGAACTTAACTCCTTCTGGAGTTCTGTGGGCTCTTAGGGCCCTTTACTAGTTGTAAATATTTCAGTGGACTAGCTACCTTTCCTGCACAGCCTTGAAAGAAAAATGAAAAATTTTTGTTAGTGTCAGTTCATACTGAAACTAAATGGTGGACACTGCATTGCACAAAGAAGGTGTGTGTTAAGTAACAGTTTGTGCTTAATATGCCTGCACTTTAAAAAGTTTTCTGCTCACAGGGATATAGCTTTCCCTGCACACACTCACTTGAAATGAAGGGAGCTAGATGGTTAAAGCAGTAGAGCTGCTGTTTTCATGGACAAAATAGGCCTGGTTAATAGGCTGTGTGTATGCCTTCAAGAAATATGTAGAAAGATGTCTGGGGATGTTTAATTAAAGCATCAATGCAGACTACTACTAGTTTTATTTGCTATTAATCTCAGTAAATCTGTCAGCAGTTCCAAGGAAAGTATGTTGTCTCTATTAAACATTAAAATGAAGAGACTTATTTATCTAGAACACGTTAATTTGAATTTTGGAGATAGTGTGAAAGCTTCAGAATTCATTAATTAGAAAGGTTTCCTTTTTTTTAATGGTTCTTGATAGGAAAAAATTAAAGAAGTATAGAACCCAAGGCACCTTTTTACTACTAATGTTGCTCTTTTTGCTGAAGAGCTTATTCTACCTCACACAAGAATAAATGGTTTGAGTATTGTTTACTAGCTTAAAAGGCCATATGGTGTAATTCCCAGTGTTTTAGGTCACAGGTAAATAATTATTTGTGTAAAGACAAATAATACAATGAATCACAACTTTTTCAGAGTTGATTTTAGAAATGCCCTGCACATTGAGAAGGGAGTAATGAGGAGAGTCCTGTGATATCACTGAAAGGTTTGAAAAGAGATGGGGATTTCTTGTCACAGGACGTACCAAATTATTAGAAAGTAAATCTGATTTGGCTTTTTCCAGATTCCCCAGTTACTGTAGGGTATCTGAAGTAGAGGAAATTGAAAAGGAGCAAGGAATAGAACAGTACTATGTTATGTACTCATCCTCACAAGTGTGATTGCAGTTGTACTCCCCATTTGTCTTATTCTTAAAATCACAGGACAGCACCCTTGTTCTCAAGATAATGGTGGTTGCTCACACATTTGCATTGTGAAGGGCGATGGCACCACACGCTGCTCTTGTCCAGTCCACCTTGTTTTGCTGCAGGATGAGCTGTCCTGTGGAGGTAAGTCCTTCCCATGCTCTGGATTGCTGAGCTTGCAGCTTCTAGGTGGGGAGGTCTCCGGTTTAGGGTCACTTCTGAGCAGAAATAACACGACAGTGTTGTAACACGTTTTTACATGTTCATCTCTTTGCCTCACTCCAGTAAGCTAAATCTGCAAGTTTTGAGGACTAAAAGAACAGGATAATTTCATTAGCTGACTGTAGAATAAGGATCTCTGTTCATGCTTTCTACTTAAGTCAATTGAATTATTTCAATTTGATATTTTAATTGTATAATTCTTTGTTACTTTTTGCATCACTGTGCATGTTCTTGTTTTTCAGCTAATAGCTCTCATGTTCTGCTATGTTCCACCCCATCTACTGTCTGTGCTATTTAATTCTTCCTTTCTTTACTCCTGAAATTCACCACGTCTTTCTGAACTGCAGCCTCAGAAGGGCAAGTTGCCTCCTCCATGGTGACATGATCACAGTAGCCTACGTGCTTGGTGCCTCCAAGGTTGTGTTTGAAATGGGAGATAGGAAAGGCACTTTGGTACTTCGGTCCCTTTGTGCCAACATACTGAGTGAGTTTATTATGCAATCTTCTTGGCATCAGGGCAACGTGTGGTCTCACAATGGAACAAGAGCTAACATAATCCAGATATTCTCTCAAGTGTAACAAAACAACAAGTTTAACACCAGGCCAAAAAGGAGAGAGGAAGAAAGGGGGACTTAAAAAAAAAAAAAAAAAAAAGGGGAGGAGAGGAATACATGCTTACTTATGCTTACTTACTGCCTGAGATTAACAGTTACAGTAGTGAATGTTAAATAACTAACAGCTGTGTTGAGATAGCAAGGCAACTAAATGTAACAGTTTCTTGTCATTTTAGAAGAATTTTGACTCAACAGAGCTGTCAAGGGCACATAACTAGACACTGAGTCACAGCACATCCATCTGCAGCACATTACATCTCTTAATGTTGTCTATACAATGACTGTTGAGCATTAAGAAAGTGAACAATCAACTGTGTATGCAATGGTGCTGCAGGAAAGGGGGAGTAGAGGAAAAGTATGTTGACTTTAAGAAAAGACTTTTGGAGATCTGTGGAGAAGGATAAAAGAGGCTGAGGTGGGAAGAAAAGAATTGTGTTTTTCGTGTTCGTGTTTCTCTGTTCTTCTTCTTTGTCTAACGAGACTCCACTGACATGAACTTGCATCTGTCACGTGAGGCTCAAGACCTGTTCAGATCATTAGAGACAGAGAGGGTGGAAATCATCTTATGATGCTGCATGTTTACCAGCTTCTTGATGTCAAAGCAGCTAAATTATTCTTGTCCTTAACTGTTGTGATCTGCTGATTGTTCACCTGAATCTTTACTTTTTGTTTGTTTGCTTGATTTTTAAAGAACCTCCAACATGCTCCCCTCAGCAATTCACCTGTTTCACAGGTGAGATTGACTGCATCCCGGTGGCCTGGCGCTGTGATGGTTTCACTGAATGTGAAGACCATAGTGATGAAAAAAACTGCCCAGTGTGCTCAGACACCCAGTTTCAGTGTGAAAGTGGACAATGCATAGACAGTGCCCTCCGGTGCAATGGAGAAGCAAATTGCCAGGACAACTCAGATGAGAAGAACTGCGAAGGTACAGAGGGTCTTTCAAAGTATGATAGAAACAAAACTGCACAGGGGATGCTATGAAAGTTACCAAAACTATTGCAGAATATGGAATTCCAAAGGATTTTAATTTCTGCTGTTATGTCACAAGTTTATTGAGTGGGAAATTATTTCACAGATCCATACTTTTGTTTTTCCACCTGCTCATGTCCTGCATAGTGGTTTAAGCTATGTTTGTTGAAAGTACTCTTAAAAAATTGTATGTTTAGAGCTCTGAAACCTGGTAACTTTGGAGTAAACTTTTTTCAGTAAGTGGGAGTGAGAGACAGATGAGATTCCCGGAGATGTCCACTTCAGAGTACAGTAAGAGAGAGCAGTTAGGCTATATTTATGGAGAGAAGTGCTATTACCGACACAATGAGAATTAGGGAATTTTTGTGTTGGAAGGGGCAGGTTATGCTGAAGGAGTCTGAACTATCCTAATACTATATCAGCATTAGAATACTCGACATTTTTTCCTCACTGCATAAATAGTAAGGAATTGTAGGGACAACTTATAAGCTTGAATGGATGCCTCTTCAACATATTCTTTCAATACAGTTTCTTTGAAGAGACTAAGAGTCTTTGAATTAAGGATGAATTTCTTTCCAAAAGATATGCTCCAGCTCAAACAAAAATATATAAACAGATGCAGAAATTCCTCTGTGATGAAGGATGCTTTTTAGGCAGACGCATGCTGACATCTGAAAATGCTTTGTGCAGGTTAGTTTCCCAGTTATCATCCAGTGACTAGAGATATTGGAACAAGGGCTGTTTATCATCTTCAAAATGTCTCTGTTACTCAGAATGTTCAGGTGGAGTGCAGCCCAGAAAAGCCTGTAGTTTAACTTCTTAATTCAACTGAAATCGGGAAGAATTTAAAATTTATGTGAAACGGGGCAAAGCTACGTGTAAACAGCAGCAGCCAGTACTTTGTCTGCAGCACCTTTTTTCCCATAGCAGTAGTTTAGTTTTTGAGTGTAATGGCAAAGATCCAGATTTGTCTTCTGTCTTCCATTTCAGTTTTAAAACATAATGTCAAGTGAAATACATTGTTGTATGATCAAGGAGTCTTCTATTTTACAAGAAGTGCACAAGGGCATTGAGAAACCACATTTATCTTTCTTCAGCAATTGTGGTTTGGCAGATTTATTTTTAATAACTTAATTCTTCTTGTAGTACATATTTAGAGTGAAGTAATTAAAGTCATTTTGCCATAACCATGTCCTAAGATAAGTACCTATATCCTCACCTATATCCTACCTGTGGCCTTCTGCGTCTGTTTTGTGTCAGTTGAGGTGACTTTTCCTTGTAGGGTCCAGTGTCTTTTTTTTCTTTTTTGGCATGCTTAGCATGAGGGACTTCTATATACCACTGACTGCTTCAAGAGATGAAGCTAACAGGAGACTAAGCTCTCCCAAAATATTCCTGATTGTATGCTTTGGTATCTACTTTCCTTAATCATTTTAAAGAGTAGAAGTCTTTGATACTGACTCTTGGTTTGTGGGGTGGTTCTCTTCCCAGTGCTTTGTTTAACCAATCAGTTCCGGTGCGCCAGCGGGCAGTGCATTGGTAAAAGCAAGAAATGTGATCACAACCTGGACTGTAGTGACAGCTCAGATGAGCAAGGATGCTGTAAGTACAAAACCTGAGACTTGATTGCATTATCTGAAATGTACTTCTTACCTTCTCAGTGAGTTAATTTTAATCTGAATTGTACCCAAAATGGATGTTGTTATGCAATCAATACATAAGTGTAGTAGAATAGGAATCAAAGACTTAACTAGTATTTTGAATTAATCCTCTCTAAGGCAGTCAAATTTTTCACATAACACTGTAAAGTTTTAAAAGAAATGAGAAGCTTGTTTTATGATAATGAGTTTGTATGCTGAGAAAGAAAAAGATTTTAAATACTGCACTATAGTGTGAGGCTTTTATATAAAACTGTTTTGCTTCATGGCTTTCCTGTACAAAGATTAGCAGCAGGTGCTTTTATAATGAGGTCAGCACTCTGTTTACAGAATAAGCCTTCTAAAATTTCCTTGGCTTCTTAAAAAAAAAGGTAATTTTGAGCTTGATTTCTGATTTGTAGCATGATACATACTATCTTGAAATCTCCAGGATTGTGCAAGAAAAACACTGTCTTTAAAATTCTAGCTTGAAAGTTCATTTTCACTGTTGGTGTTTTGAAAGAAATTGTAAATAGGTGTCATCTTTTCTAGTGTTGGAGATCTATGTATCACAGGTGACACATGACTTGAAAATGCAAGGCCTTGATCTTAAGGAGTAATAAGAGATGTGCTATCATGTAAGGAAGTTAGTAGCAACTTTATCACATACATATGTAATTATCATTTTTATGGTTCAGACATTTTTGTTTTTATGATATAAAATCTGCCTGGAATAAAGTTGCATTGGTCACTGTCCTTCTTCCAGTATGATCAGAAGTCTGTTTACTAATCACTGTAGACTGTGACAGGTTGGTTAAAGTGTGGAATTGTTTTTTTTTAGGAGAAGGAAATATGTTGAGGAAAAGGCTTTCTATAATGGCTAAGATGTAAAATACCAACTAGAACAGGAATATTCTTTTAAGTCTGCTTTTCTTGTCAAATTCATTAAGGATAGACAGGGAGTTGTCATTTATTCCCATAAGTGTCATTGGTTAGAACTGGTATTGTAGGGAAAGCCGATCATTTTAGCTGTAAGGAATCTGTATCCAAAGTAATTATTCAACACTTTGGCACTTCTAAAGCTGATGTGAAGATGTATCCTTTAGTGTGGGATAGATGTAGAATGGGTTAGGTAATTAAATAAATAGCAGCAAACCCAAAATTAATTACTGATATCATCTCTACTGAGTGAATGTTACACAGTTCAGAACAGAGAATGCCAATCTGTTAAGCAGACTGATAACCCAGGGGTTGTGTGACAGAGCAAAGCAAAAATAGTTGTCACTGTTGTTAATGGTAGCACAGTACAATCTGAAGTCCTGGCTGCAGGTCTTGTTAACCCAGCTCAAAGGGCAGCTAGTTCAGGACCTGGTTCATGAGCCCCCACCCCTGCACATGAGTGTATTTACTCATCTCCTGGCATCCCATTCTAAAACCTCTGCACATGTGGAACTATTCATGTGCACAGGCGGCCCTACTGGCTTCCCGGAGTCTTCAAACAGACCTGTTCACTTGTATGTTTGTTCCTAACATAAATTCATTTATGATATCTGATATCTGCCTATGGAAGTGGAGGCTGTTGAGTGATATCGTGAAAACTGATGTTGATGTATGAAGCTGCTGGATTAGCTTCTACAGTATAATTTTATTTTTTCTTCTAGACACTACAGAGGAGCCTGCGCCACAGCCCAACAACACGATAGGCTCCATCATTGGTGTAATCCTCACACTTTTTGTGGTTGGAGCAATGTATTTCATTTGCCAGAGGGTGCTGTGCCCACGCATGAAGGGGGATGGAGAGACAATGACCAATGACTATGTGGTACATGGACCAGCCTCTGTACCTCTTGGTTATGTGCCTCACCCAAGCTCTTTGTCAGGGTCTCTTCCTGGTGAGTAAACAGCATGTTCCTTGTTTTGCTCTTTGACCTCACATAGTTATAGCTGAGGATACTGTGCATGTATGCACAGGAGACATTGGTTCCAGAAGCATAATTCTTCCTGCCAAGCCACTGAGAGACAGGACAGTTGAGGATTGTTGCTGTCCATTGCAATAAATTTCTATCCTTTCTATGCCACTCACAAGCATTCAGATTCTTAGCAGAGCCATAAGTTCAAATAAATATATGTACCATGGGAGTTCTTTTTTTGCTGCAAAAGAAGCCTCTTTTTATGACACTGGCAAGGTGTCATGACAGATCATGGTAAAGTACATGGAGGTATATTCATAAGACTTTGTTTAAAGATTGTATAATTATTAGAATTTTAGATTGGATCTTTATATTTGTAAAACTTCTTGTAAAGTCAGAAATGACCAGCAATAACTGGTTTCAGGTTATTTCATTATTTGATAATGAAGTTTCTGATACCAGTTCACATGCATGATGCTACTGCTGATTAAAAAATAAGATTTGGCTGCAACAGTGCACTTCATATGTATGCATTTCTTTTGTATGTATTAATTAGATATGAACTGTAACTTGTGGTGCTGGATCCAGCGGGTTGCAGTTAGAACATAACTGTTTTTGAGGCTAGTACAGGGTTATAAGAATTCACCAAATATCTTTACATTCTGTAGTAACCTGCTTTCATTATAGAGTCTTTAAGGAGAATTTGCATTATTTCAAGCACAATTACATACCTGTCTGTTTCTTGTTCCGACTCTATGGAAGCATGATTCAGTCCAGCAGCAAAATCTTACTTACCTATATAGAAATAAAATAACAAACTCTCTCTTTTCCTGCTTGAATTTCAGTTGCTTAGTTGCTGTGGTCAGAGTCAGTTTTGTGTTTTATTCCAGGACATAGAAATAATGCCTGTTCTCTCAAGTCTTTTACAGATGTTCAAGTGAAAGGAATCTGGTTCTCTTCATGCAGCTTTAGTGCAGACAGGTGCCAGATCCTGCAGTTCAGTCATTGATGCACAAAACCAACATGCTTATCCCCTGACAGTCTTCATTCTGTTTCTCAATCAAAGAGCACTGAATTTGCTCTTAATACTGAAAAGATTAGTTTTGCTTCTAGCAGTTGCACTGATACCGCTGTTATCCTACCAGCTTTTTTTCTTTAATCTTTCTTTTCTCTGTTTGCTTTGAAGAATTGAATATTGACATACATATTTGCTCTTCTTTAGGGATGTCTCGAGGAAAATCTGTGATCAGCTCCCTCAGCATTATGGGAGGGAGCAGTGGGCCGCCCTATGACAGGGCCCATGTCACTGGAGCATCTTCCAGTAGTTCTTCAAGTACTAAAGGCACTTACTTTCCTCCAGTAAGTTATTCTGTTATTCATAGATCTTTACTAACTTTCAGAGAGGTTCCTGGAGATAATTTGTTTACGGATTCATGCTTGGTTTTACCTTTTTAGAATAAAAGATTTGTTTGAATATGGAAGAGTGACTTTGGAAGGGAAGAGAAGGGAGAAGAGGTTGTCTCTTTATAAAACAATATGGGACTTTTATACTAGTTTTTAAAGCTTTATAGAGATTTACCACCAGAAAAAAATGGTCTTAGATTAAATATCAGGAGAGATGAAAAAATCAGAGTAAATGTTGAGCAACTCTGACAGAGTGATCTCCATTACACTCCATCAAGTGCCTCTGGAGAAAACGCCATAGTTGGAGTCTCTACAGGCTCTTGAATTAATTAAAATGAACTTTTCTCTCGCGTTCCAAAGCAAACAAGTGTCTTTCAACTCCATAACATTCCTATAGACATAGAACAGAAAATTACTGTATTAGATGCTATATGAAAGTTGTTACCAGCTTTAGAGGGTTCAGTATCTACTTAATTTAACATCTGGCGGTTGTTTTAGTGATTTTATATGAAGTCCACAAGCCACTACTGTATGTTAGAGTTACATGCTTGGTCGGCAGAGATTAAAATCTTCAACTGTCTGTTATGCAATTCTGAAAATAACTCATCTTCTTATATCCTGAAATTAACCAAAATTCTGTTCATGCAATAAAAGTATGACAGTGTAGGGAACAAATGCTTGCCTTGGTCAGCAAACTACAAATATTCTAAAACAGCGTGGTACTGAAGGCCTACAAGCTAGCAAGTTTAAGCTGCTGGTTTTCCTAGGGCAGTGATATCGCTAGTGACTATGTTGTACTGAACAGCTAGCTTAAACTTTCCTTTTCAGCACTGGCTATGTCAAAATACACAGCAGTCAACAGCAGTCGGCATTTTTGAGAATAGCTTAATATCTTCTATGGGAATAACAAGCAGGATTTCCAGCATTTATTACAGAACTGGGGAATAAACAAAAGAAAAATCCTCCTGTTGGGAGGGACTATGCATATAGTTCTTCAAGTAAGAATACTAAAAAGAAAGTTTGTAACACTGGTGTTTTCTTGATTCACATTCTGTCTTGGATTTTATTGGGACGAAATTATTTTCTTTGGAGTGTCTGGTATGATGCTGTGTTGGTTCTAGGAGAAAAACAATGTTGTAGCACACTGGTGTTTATAGCTGCAGCTAATCAGTGTTTTATAGAGCCAAGGCCATTTGCAGCGAAGGGTCCAAGGACCTGGGAGGGAACAGAATTAGGACAGCTGACTTAAACTGGCCAAAGGGATATTCCATAGCATATGACATCAAGTGGAAGGAGTTTTGAAGGGAGTGGGAGTTCATCTCTCTCTCTTTCTCTGGTCAGGGGGCTAGCTGGGCATTGGTCATTGGGTGGAGAACATATTACTTATGTATCACTTGTTATACATATTTATAAATATGTATAGTTGTAACTATTATTACTTTCCTTTTCTCTACTTTAGTAAGTAGTTTTATCTCAACCTACAAGTTCTACTTTGTTTTTTTGGATTCTCTCCCTCATCCCACTGGAAAGGAGGGGGAGTGAGTGACCAACTCTGTGGTGCTGAGCCACCAACCAGGTTAAACTGCAGCAGCATTCATATCTTAACTGCAAATTTTCTTAATTTTTTCTCAGATTTTGAACCCACCACCATCACCAGCTACCGAACGTTCACATTATACAATGGAATTCGGTTATTCTTCAAACAGCCCATCCACTCATAGATCTTACAGGTAATTATTATTACAATAGCATCTGTCAGGATCAAAGCAGCTACTGTAGAAATGTAGAATGCAGACATACCCTGCTCCATAAGAATTGTAATCAAAGGCCTTAATGCTGCGAGTGCTAAAACAGGTGCTTAAATTGTTTCACATGTATCATGTCACTGCAGCGTATGTTTAAGTGTAGCATAATTTGAGGTTAATCATACGGTGAGTGGGTTAGTGGTACATCTCTTGAGTATATTTGCTTTAGGGGGAATAACAATGCTAATTCTTCACCATATTAGTTAAATGCTGACTTGGTATCATGATAACTTACAACCAAAAATATGTATGCTGGAATGAACCCTGCCATAAATTATATGTTATAAATAGTTATAAATACTTTGTTACGTAATTATAAAAAAAATAGTAGTCACACATAGGAGGAAAGTTGGCAATACAAAGGCTAGTATTTTACAAGTAAGGTCATATTAATGGCCTAGATAAATCACAAGAATATATCAAATTAGAATTTAATATTAATATCTGAATGAGGTTGCTAATCTCTTGCTTATTTTCCCTGATTATTTGAAACATGAAAGCTTTATCTTCATTTTTTTTGAACACATCCTTCTCACTTTCCTTTCATTATCATTTTATAACTAGTTACAAAAAGAAAAAAACAAAGAGTAAGAGACTTACTACCCAAGAGTGTAAAGATTCCCTTCTCAAATCACTAGTAGGTCTAGTCAGTGAGGTTTGAGACTGTATTTTTCTCCTCAAAGAAATGTCTCCCTAGCACAGAGTCTTTGGGGGCTTTTGTATAATGAGGTCTCTGGGGCTGAAGAGATGTCTCTTCTCCATTGGCAGAAATATGACCTCTGCTGTGCAGAAGGTTTGTATGTCTGTAATGGTCCCTTGCAGACATATGAAAAATCCGTCAAAATGATTTGTAATTTAATAATGACATAAAGCCACATCATGGCACCAGCATGAATCCTGCTGATCATTGGTCAGCTGGCGTGACTCTTTGAATTATAAATGGAATTATAATAGAGATGTAGTGTAGACTTGGATGTTTTCAGAGTGCTTCCCATTCAAAAATAAGCCCTACTTTTGCCAATTGTGATATTTCCTAACAATCTGACTTGAATACAGAGGAACTGCATCCTCAACTGTTACCAGCTACGGATTTTGATGCTGGCAATTGTAGATACCAACCACCTCCCTGTCTAGTTTTTCTTTTATATAGCTATAGAGTGGCTTAGGTTGGAAGAAATCTTAAAGCCTATTTAGATCCATGGGCACGGTTACCAACCTCTCAATCGTGTTGTCCAGAGCCCCACCCAACCTGGCCTCCAGGGTTGATGCACCCACAACTTCTCTGGACAGCCTCTTCCAGGGCCTCATCACCCTATGAGTGTAGAATTTCCTCCTAATTTCCCCTCTTTTAGATAAAACCATTCCCCCTTGTCCTATCAGACCGTGTAAAATGTCAGAGTCCATCTTGTTTATAAGCTTCTTTTTAAATACTGAAAGGCTGAAATGAGGTCTCCCCAAGAAACAGAACACAGCTTTCTTTAAATGATCTTGGGTTCATTTTTAAAAACGTTTGATAGTGTTTGAGAATTCCCTCCCAGTTATTGCTCTGACAGGTGACTCTCCTGAGCGCTACAAAGGTGCCAGTTGATTTTTGGTCTCTCTCTCAACTTAAAAGTCAGTTAAAATTGGGAATTACTCTATTTAAGGATACTAGAATGTCTTCTCTAAGTTTGCAGCGCACTGTTTTTTTCACACAGTGCCCTTGTTAGTAGCAATTTTCACTACCTCAGCTTAGGAAAACTATTATCTGTAAGCAAGTGGTAACTGGTATTTCGTTCGCCCATTCCTGTAATTTGACCAATGCTGTGCAAAGCTGGGCTTTCTCCAGGTGAGTTAACAAGTCCGCTGCGCCACAGAGGGGTTTGATACTGTGGGTCTGCAGCAGGGAGGTTGCCTCCTGCCTCCTTTCACCTTGACCTACTTGCCTCCCTTGTTCATGGATGCATCACCCAAAAAGTTCAGTCCTTTTGCTGACACTTTTCCCAAAAATCTCCCTGCCGCAGCTACAGGCCTTACAGCTACCGCCACTTTGCACCTCCCACAACACCCTGTAGCACGGATGTCTGTGACAGTGACTATGCCCCGAGCCGAAGGGTCACGGCCGCGATGGCCAAGGGCTACACCAGTGACTTGAACTATGATTCAGAGCCCGTGCCACCGCCTCCGACCCCGCGCAGCCAGTACCTGTCAGCGGAGGAGAACTACGAGAGCTGCCCCCCTTCCCCATACACAGAGCGGAGCTACTCTCACCACCTCTACCCACCGCCGCCGTCCCCCTGCACAGACTCCTCATGAGGGGCAGCCCCCCCTCCGCAATCTGCCTCTGCCGTGGAAGTGTAAATACAAAGCGTTCTACCAGGGAGGGGGGAGTTCTTGGCAAGGGATGAGGTAGGACAGTGTACAGTTAAATGTTATTAAGTTGGGTGGTGGAATACTGGACATATTTGTACAGAAGAAAAAAAAAAAAAAGGATATTTATATATTTTCTTAAACAGCAACTGCTGCTTGTGCCATAAGAAAAATTTTTGTATAAAAGAACCCAGACGTTTGTAGAAAAAGTTTTTATTTTTGCAAATTGAACACAAAAACATGCCTTAATCCAGTGAAGTGACTGAGCACATAGTGAAATGGAAGGACCAGGTATGTGTCACTTGTCCAGTGAGGTGAGATGTGGGTTTTATCAATACCAAAAATGTTTAAAGTAATTAATAATAAAGAAGTCCGTCTCAGAGCAGCGTACCATAGATACTTGGAAGTAGCCAAATACCCTCTATATTAGCTACAGAGGGCCAGCAACTAAGTTAAACTTGAAAATGCAGTCAGGACAGATAATAACCTTATACAAAGGGCTTTGTTTTCTACAGGAATACAACAATTGTAGCAGTGAATCCAGAAGAATAATGACACAATTTTTTAAAAGAGTGCACCTCTGTTTTTCTTCAATACATTTACCAAACTTGAGCATTTTGAGCTCTCTCCTTGCTTCTGAAATTTCAATGATTTTTGTTGGGTATATTTTAAAGTTCTTTTTTTTTTTTAAGTACTGCTTAGCCTTTCTCATTTCTTCTACATCCTTTCTTCCCCCCCATGTCACTTTAAATCATATTATCCTTATTTAAAGTACTGGGCTGCTGTAAATTCTTTTTTTTTTCCCCTCCTAATTAGCCTTGTCGTGCAATGAGTGTCATGCTATACATTATTCCATTAATTTTGCCAACATGAGGATCCTGTTTTGTACCAGGTCAGTGTGATTTTTCACATGATTGACAAGGGTAATATGCACATACCTGAATGATTTTTAGTCCCTGGGAAAAAAAAAAAACCCTTATTTTGACCTAGTGCCCACAAAATGTCAAATATTTTTTTACCACATATAATAGAGACAGTGTATTTATAAACTATAAATTTAACCAAGGATTGTTAGTTTTACTGTAAATGAATAATATATCCTTGCAGTACATTCAATGTATATTGATACCACAGCACGCAAATCAAATATATAATATATATATATATATTATTTTTTTTTCCTAGTAAGGAAGCATTTAACTTTCAGTGGAGCAACTATCCATAAGAAATAAATGTTTTGACCATTGGAAGGAGTTCCTTTGCTGTATTAACTGCTCGTGATTTGTGTTAGGCAAAGCCAATTTTCTCAGTATGATTTTGACATACCTCCTGTTTTGTGTAGTGTGAGTTTAATGCTTTAGTATTAACCGCTGTGAGTATCAAATTAAGATATTCTTAACCAAACAATTTTTTATTCACATCTCTATTTTTGTATATTACCTTATTTAGCCCCTTCTCCCTTCAGCCTCACCATGGTGATTTTGAAAGGGATGGTGTATAAACAAGTGAAAGCATTATTTGCGTAGGTTGAGGGACAGCCTAGAATATTATGATTTCCTCTCTTACTCCAGTGCAGTGCTCTGAATTTGCTTTGACTGTAGCTGAGCTCACAGTATAACTGATTCTAGACAGCATTATGCATTTGCACCTTCTGTTAATGTTAAATCCATGATGAAGGTGCTGATGCCTTCAAAGGTTGGACCTCTGATTCTTTTCTCTCAAAACAAAGGCTTCTGCCTTCTGAGCCTTTTGGGCTCAGTATGGATGGAATAACCATTCAGAGGTCCTATTTGGCTTGTATTGTTCTCTGTTGTTTGTTTCCCATCCACTTTCAACTGAGCAAAATAATCTAAAAATGTGGCATAGGCTTTGCTTCATACTGTTGACACAATTAGTGACAAATAATTCTGCCACTCGTCTTGGGTACTGGAGCTTTGTTTTATTTCAGCTCTGAGAAAAGCCATGCCATTTGGAATCCCAGCTGTAACTAAGTGTTTTTCTCACAGTAAAAGATACCTGAGAAAGCATTTTAAAAAAAAAAAATCCTGGATGGACTCCAGGCTGCTATAATTGATCTCCGGATCTGGTGTGCTGAGAGTTTGATCAGCTTCATTCTAGGTATCTGGAAATTGTGATCACTGTTCTTTAGGCGCTTCCTTCTTGTTGAAGAAGCCTGTCTGTGTTCTCCAGCAGGGCTGATTTGGAAGGTATTGTAAACTATAAGGGAACTCAAAGACTTTTATATGAAGGGGGGGAGGGCAGGTGTGCTGGGGTGGATGTCGAGGCTGGCATGCCAATGAGAATAGAACCTTCTCTGTTGTTTACATTTTGTCATGTGCAGCATTCCACATGGGGTTCACGTGTGGAAACTTGCACTAATGAACTCAGAAGAATATTGCATTGTTGTATCTCAGTCCAAGTGCTTGTACTGCGATGGCAATGGTGTCTTCTTGCAAAATACTCTTTTCAGCATGCCGATTTCTGTTTGAAAATCTCCTAAGGTAGTTAAGCTTAAGGAATGGTATCCTCTTTCTGCTGCAGTTGCACTGCTTTGCTGAAGGTTACTTTTTCAGGGAATTTCCTGGCTGCAAATTCATAAGTGCGTTAATTATAATGAGGGTTAATTATAATGAAAGTTCTCTTCATGTGAACTGTGCTGCCTGAGTTCTATGCTGGTTTTCATCCATAATTACTTCAGTTGTAATCAGGGAGGTGGATGTGTGATTTAGTGTAGAATTTGATCAAGTCTTTATCTCACCTTGTTCATCAGATATTCTGAGTGATCTGTCTCTGGATGTAAATAGCAAGAAAGTGGACAGATATGTTTTTTCCACTGAAGATGACCAGCATAGTGAGCAGACTTGCTTGTCTAGATTATCCAAAGAATTTATTTAGTGGGAAACTGTGATCTGCCTTTGCATTTACATGTAGTTTTCTAGTAAATCTAGAGTGAAACTTAAAATGAATTGATGATCTGTGAAAATCCTCTTGGCTAGTTGTCCAAATTACAAAAGCATTGCTGCAGCTAATATATGCACCCAATTTAATCACAGTGGACAAACCATAGACTGATTGAATATTGGAACTAAATGACCTCTCTGTTCCTTTCTGCCACTAAGCCAGTTGTGACTGATACTCTCTCCTTCCCTCAATCACAGCTGCGCTTTCTTCTGCTTCTGAAATTGACTGAGATGCTAGGACTATGGGACTATAGGTAATGCACACATGTCAACTTAGGATATAGCTGGATAGCTATGTGGCATTAAAGACATCGCACTGATATAAATGAAAACTATCCACAGTCCTTAAGCTGTGCACAAATATCCTCATCTTACAACATGAAAAACATATAAATAGGGGTATTTAACTCAACTGTGTTAAATGTGTAGTTTTTCCTCTGGACACCTGGAAAGTATTCATAGCTGAGTGTCTGGGCATGGAAGTAGCTGGCATGCGAAAACAGGAACGGAACGGTCCTTTCTAGTTTAAAAATAATAGTAATAATAATAATGAACATTACGGTGTAAATTTTGATTAAAACTAACCTTTGCATGATCTATATGTGTTTAAATGGCAATATAAATGAAACCTAATATTGCCTTTTAAAATTATGCCTGCCTTATGATGCTGTTCATCTTCCTAAGGAAGACTCATCATTTTTCCACTGGTTCAGATGACAAGATATTTATTTGAAAAGAACTTAAATAGGGTAAAACACAACATGCAAATAACATGACATAAAGAATGTTTTCCATGCATTCATGCAACTCATGTTTACATTAAATGGAATATTCAAAGTAACGCAAAACATGCAAATGAGACAGCTTATAGTGAAGGGATTAATTTTGTTGTGAGTTGTTACTTTCAGTACTGTAAATTCCAAATTACTACCATCACATTACCCCATCAGAACATGTACAAGTATATATATGTATGTATATATATATGCAGGCACATACATTGGATAATGTGAGTTTACCCAAAGCTGATAATTTTCTCGTGCATACTCACATACCCACATTGGCACATCTTGCCTGGCTGGCTTTTAAAGTGCTAATGCTGGGTACTGTTATGATGTCTCTTGTAAAACAGAATTCTTTTGTCCAGATTACAGGATAGACAGCAGACTATTTGCTATTTAAACCTGAGTAATTAGTTCTCTATCCTGCAAGGCAGGAGAAGCAGCACACTTTTGATGCTGTTGTATTAATTCTGGTGTCCAGTTTGCAGATGAGTAAAAGCTCTTCTGTTCTTTCTAAGTATATAAAAACTAATCTGTTGTAGTAACTATGAAGAAAAATTCACCCAAACTGCTTGTCATGACAGGTGGCACTATCCACTGCAAGTGAAGCAATATCCACAAAGTCCGTTTGTTGCATTCATGGATTTTGTTGGTGTTCTGGTCTCTGTTTTGCGCATTGCTTCTCTATTTGTTATGTCTGAGACTCTAGAAATTGTTTGATTTCTGAGTCTTAAAAAGGGTTTCATTCATTATGCTTTAAGCCAGTTAAGGCTGTCTTACGATAAAGAGAAGGCCGCTTTCTTGAACATTGAGTGTTTCCATTCTTTATTGCTTCGGAAATCTCCTTGAGTTGATTACCACCATTCTAGAGGGAGATGCTCGATCTGCAGAACTCCCTGGCCATGCATGCTGCTGAACCAAATGACTTCTTCAGAGTATCACTAAAACATCCTCACTCACTCTGTGCCTGACAGATTTGTCTTGACTGTGTTTGACTCATAATGTTATTATGCAGAGGATCTCCTTTGGAATGCATACTGTACATGTAGCAGATTGTTCACACAGCAAAAAATAGATGGCTCATTGGGTGCACAAATAATTTCAGCAATGTTTTTGAGAAAATGCTTTCCTAGCCATTCTTTTTAAGTTGCATTGTGATAGGGTTATTGCTTGCAAATTAACCTTTAATGTAGTTGGCAGGTGACAAATGCACCTTGAAAATAAGTCAGGAATGACCTAACAGCTTAAAAATGGCTACAAAACAGAATCATAATATCATAGGGGCTGCAAGGGACCTCTGGAGATTGTATAGTCCAACCCAAACAATTCATTTATTCAAAAACATTCAATTTATTTCTAAAAGAAGTAAAATAAAAAGCCATAGTGATCCAAATGAACAATTTTCTTTCATTTTTAAAAAGGTAGGTCAGTATTTGATAATAACCTGGTATTTATAGGGCCTGAACAATCCACTCCAAAACAGTGCAAAGCAGAGTAAGAAAACTGTCCGTATTAGAAATGTCCTGAGAGCATGCAGGATTATCATGATGTAACTGTTGGAGAGCAGTCGTGTTCCCCTCTTTTCAATGAACAAGGAGCATCTTTGAAGTCCCGATTAAAATGGCTGTAGCCTTAAGCCAGGCAGTTGAGAGTCAGCCAGGGAAAATGAAAGTGTCTTTTGTAAAGGGGATACCACCAGGCTTAAGCTGAACTAGCCTTGTTTGCAAATGAAGGATCTGGTGCTGCTTTCAGACTTCTAATCTTGTTTTTGTTTTGTTTGTTCTTTTTTTTTTTTTTTTTTTTTTGTAAGCTTTAATCGCTGTTTGTCATTGTCTTAAAGCCAGCTGGTGTCTCTTGTTCATCAACTTTGGTAAGATGGTGCTTTGCAAGGATGTATTTATATTATAATGACCAACATTTGGTCAACCGTATTCACTCATTCACTAACTTTTTTTTTTTGTAAAATAAAGTGCTTTACTTATGAGGTGTATATAAACCTTGTACAAAAATCCTTTCCAATAATTACTATAAACTGAGTTGTAACAAATGAAATGTTGATTTTTATAATAAAACTAAGAGTGAAAAGAAAAAAAAAAAAAGAGGGGTGCGCCTCATTTTATTTCAGCATTTGAAAGAGTGGTGGCTAAAGGTGAAGTCCCATGAGTGTGTTTGCTCAGCTCTTTTAAAAGCCGGAAGATGCTCAACTCGCTGATGCTGTGGGCAGACTCTGCAAACACAGATGCGTTTTCGTGAAATACACAATTGACTTCAAGCAGTTCTATTCCTTTCCGTTATTCCATATGACAGATCGATTCATTTTGAAGCTGAAAGGAAAGTCTTCATTATTCATCACTTCAATTGGTTTATGAGAATACAAACTAGAGATGTTCGCCAAGGATATCATCACTGAAGAGATAAATTACAGTTACAAAATTTGAGGCTGCTGGCCTTTAAGTCTGTATCTAAATGTTTGCAAGGAGAACTAGATGGTTTTTCGGTATTAAAAAAAACAAAGCAAACACCCAAATCACAGTCCTCTCACTGTAATGTGTAATGGGGTAGGAAGAAGTTCTCAATGTGTAAGTTTAGCATAGAAGTTCCTACTCCATTTCCACCCCTCTAGACCATGATGTGGCTTTATATTGGAATGGATATGGCTATGGGGAGATCGTTACATCATTTGTTCTTCTACCTGGAGGCATAGGCCACGTACCACTGCTACACCTTCTCAAATAACACGCCATAAGGTGCTGCATTCATTCTACCTTGGAAAATGAGCTGTTATGTTAGAGCAGGTGGGAGCCTTGCTGCTTACTCAAAGTGCCAGTTGTGAGTTGCTGTGGAGCTGCATAAGGCACACCAGCATTCTTTTTTATTTAAACAGCAGTGGCTGCCTTGCTACAGTGTCAGTGTTGTTGTAACAGCCTGGAAGCCTGAATAGCATTCACACTGGGTTTACTGAATCTTAGTCTTTGCCAGATACAGCTGTTAAGCATCAGAGTATATCTATCTCGAATGTAGTTTTCCACAGCGCAACAGAGAGGTAGCATGGACAGACACCAGAAAGAGAAGGAGCCACCCATCACTGAGCCACTTGTGTTAAGTCTTGAAAAAACAATACTTTTTAGAAGAACGTAGTCAGCAAACACAAGCAAGTTGTGTTCCAGCTGCAGCTCTACCACGTATCTTCTCCATGCCAATTCCAAAGGCTTCAGAGATAGCAGAACTGCTGAGACTGTTTTTACCAGGCGCTAATACACAGTAAGGGATGCTGAGGTGTTTCTCATTTAAAAAATGTTCCCTGTTTGTCTTAGAAAGGAACACTTGGAAGTCCAGAAATTATTTATTTCTTTTGCATGACTGTGTCTTCCCTTGCACATGTGCATACTAGCAGAGATGAGTACAAGTGCTGGAATCCTTGCCATTCATTTTATATTAGAGGAAGGCTAACACACTGCACTTTGTTGTGGTAGGGGGTAAGAGGAAGAATGTCACTTTAGGAGTGTAAAAGATGAGACTTTTTTTGAATCCACCAGCGCCAACAATGCTTCCCCAAGGAAGGGGCGAGAATATAAAACCAGGTGCTTGCTCCTGAAGGATAACTATTCCCACACCCCTTTCCTTGGTCCATCGGATTGGGGATATATTACACATGTTGGTGGGCTTAGTGACTTTAAAACGAAAAAGGGAAACAACAAGAACAACAGCAACAAACTTTAATTTGTAAATACTCTGTGTCTCCAAAACTAACTTTATGTTGTTCAGCCTGTACCCTTCTTCAATAGCTAGCTTTGATGGAGCTAAATGTAAACCCCTTCCTTATAGGAAAGCCTGTGAGCTACCAGCCCTCTTCTGCTTCCACCATCTAGCATAAGGAAACAGCTTAACAGGAGAATGTCTGGCAACTAGATACCTACAGAAATCAGAGACTGCTTGTGTGAAGGCGTGTGGAGAATTGGGAATTGGGAAATGATTTTAAGTTGAGGGCGGGAAGATTCAGGTTGGATGTCAGGGGGAAGTTCTTTACAGAGAGAGTGGTGAGGTGCTGGAACAGGCTGCCCAGAGAGGTTGTGGATGCCCCGTCCCTGGAGGTGTTCAAGGCCAGGTTGGATGGCACCCTGGGCAGCCTGATCTAGTATTGAATGTAGAGGTTGGTGGTCCTGCATGTGGCAGGGGGTTGGAGATTCATGATGCTTGAGGTCCCTTCCAACCCTGGCCATTCTGTGATTCTGTGGAGAACATCTTTTGTGTCTGAGGCAATGGAAGGGTTTCACAGGTTGTGTTCTCTGTATAACAGTCTTGCCAGAAACTCTTAGCCCTGCTCCCTTGCCAAGAAGCTGATGGCCATCCTAACCTGCAGAACATGAGGTTGGGGAGACACAGAGAAGTGGTGTGGCTCATTAGTGTGGTAGGAATCTCAGGGGGAATAGCCTGGAAAGGGAGGAGAAGAGACCAGATTGAGCAGGTTGAGACAAAGAGCCAGAGCAATCTGGCAGAAAAGAAGGGAGTCCTGTGCTTCGTCTTCCCCCTCTGTGCTAGAAATGAACTAATCATGGCAGGGTCTGAGTGCCGTGGGGCCAGAGATGACTTAACAGAGACCCCTTCCCAGCATCCTGTTTGTACCTAGAGCAGAGAAGACAGGATGGAAGTAAAAATACTCTGCTTTTGCCTTCTCCACATCTAGGGATGGATGACAGTGGGGCAGAAGGGGCATGCTGAAGCTGGTTAGGACATTTCCTGCAAGGCTGGACCTATACTGGGACTTGGAGGTGTGCTTTGTTTCTCTGTGTCTCCATTTGGTCTTTAAAGCAGGAAAACTACTCCTCAGAAATAGAGAGGCTCTTCTGAAATGTTGACAGAGAGATAATACCTCCATGACACAGGCTGATTAGGCACTGGCACAGGCTGCACTGAGAACTGTGGATGCCTTATCCCTGGAATTTTTAGGGGTTCAGTTATTTGACACTATGAGCAACCTGATCTGATGGTGGCAACCCTGACCACAGAAGGGAGGTTGGAACTGGATGAGTTTTAAGATCCCCTCCAACCCAAGCCATTCTAGGATTCTGTAAAATTGAGTATCATAGTTTGATGAGGTAGAAAACACTACTACTCCGGGCCACATTGTCTCCCTCTTCTGATGTGAGACTAAGAACACCCTGGTGGGAAGAGCCCTTCTTGTGTACTGCCCTGACTACATTCTGGGGGATTAAATGCTTAAGACACTTCTGTGCTAGCAAGAGGTATCTGTTTCCAGGATCTGGGACTGTCTGGAGGGCAGCAGGTGATGAGATCATGCTGGAGAATATGGGCATGGTGTTAAGAATCAGCTCCAGCAGCCCTGCCTTTAGAAGGGCCATCCCTCCAAAAGCCAAATCTTGCTCAGACTCCCTGACACTTGCAGAAAACTCTAAAAAAAATTTCATGTGAGTTGTGTGTATGCACTGCTTGCTTCCTATGCTTCACTTCCCCTGGTTCTTATTATGTGAAGTACCTAATGAAAGCCAGATCTTTGCCTCCTCGGGCATTTAATGTGCTTCTGTGGCTTTGACTTTAACCGAGGCAGCCGTTGTCCCTTCTGTGAAATCCCAGTGGGCTGCTTTGGGAACAGGCACCGTGTTACTGACATGCTTACTTGGCTTCAAGTGGGTAGCAAGCAGCAGGTGAACCCTTGAGATAAAGATCTAGATCATGTGCAAATACACCCAGCACTGAAAAGCTCAGGAAGAAAGGAGCAGAAAGCATGTCCTACAGTGGGCAGGAGGTAAGTGTGTAAATTGTTTTTGAATTAAAATTTCTCATGAGGCAACAGATTCTTGAAAGGAAATTCTGTTGTATTTTTCCTAACTACGTTTTCCCTCTGTTTGCTAGAAACAAAGTCTCTGTAGCAAACAGGACTGTCTCTCCACACAGGGAGAGTGCGAACAGGAGGGAAAGAGGCTTTTTTGTGCTGCTTCAAGACACTTGGCTTCTTTTACCATGTGGATGTTTTCTCTCTTCTCATGTGATGTTTGGATCATCCTCCAGCTTTACATGGCTCCAAAAACAGAGAACCAAGAAGACACAGAAGAGATGTGATCCTCACATCCCCATCGTTTGTTTCCTTCACTTGATTTTACAGTAGTGATAAAACCCATCTCTTCCCTTGACTGTAAAAAACAACTGGCAAAGCACCTGTAAGACTAACAGCTCTTAGTAATTCAGATTCATAACTTACTGCAGGCTCTCTGAGGCCTCTAACATTTGTTTTCAAATTACCTTGCATTTGTCTTGCTGGTGTGCACCATTAGATGCTGGCACTGTAACCAGGTATGGAGGGACTGGGTCTCCTGACTGCAGCATGCAGCCTTGGAGCAATGAGAAAGAGCATTGCAGAGATGCATTTTGTTGTTTTGTTCTTGGATTGTATTGTTTTGTTTGTTTTTGTTTGTTTTGCATGATGTTTTTCCTTATTACGTAGCTGCATGAGACCACCTCATACTTGAAATGATTCCTGGACTGTTTTATTCCCATGTTATTTTGTGAAATGTAAGAGTTTGGAGAAAAATAAAAAAGCAACACTAGTAAGGGTTGTATTAAATACGAAGATCCCAGCCTTCTGCCTAAAGGTACTTCGTAAGGCTAAAAGTCCTCAGGAAGAACTGAATGCCATGTGCATCATCAAGAGTAAGGATCTACCTCTCTCTCTCTGTGTAACTGCTGCATTACAACTGCCATATCACTTCTATTTCTAGTGATTACTACATCTTTTTCTTCCAAACAGAATAAATTTCAGCTATCTGATGCATCTTTTATGTCTTTGCATTTTTGTACGAACTCGGAAGTGCTTGATGCTCCTATTCATAATTGCAACTGCTTCTACTATTTCTTGTTTGTTTTTGTTGTTTTTTTTTCTTCAAGAAAAAAAAAACCTTCACATAGTGGATTTTTGGTTTTCTGTATGGTTATATTTCTATATGCACATAAAGTTGCTGAAAGACAAATCATTTTTTTCTTCTCTGGGAACAACTACAGACAAATGCTCAGTGTTGTAGTAGCTTGGGCTGCTAGAAAGGGAGACCCTGAGGCCAGAAGATAATTAGCTGACTTGTTCTTGTTGTAAGAGGCTTAATAAGGTCTGTACCAAGTTCCTCCAAAAGGAATGGCAGGCTGATGTGCATACTGTGAACAGCACATTTATTGACATATTTGCTTTCAGCTTGCTCTGGAGTATCTGAAGATAAAACAAAATGACACTTCCCTGCCTTTCTCTTTTGGAAACCATTACTAGTAGCGGGGGAAACAGGATATTTAATGATAGTAATTACTTCATTTTTCACATTTCCCTGTTCCTTATTCCCATATGGGAGACCATGATCTCATGTCCACACGGATGTATCTTCACATGTCTACTGCTGTGTCCAAGAGAAAGCAGTCTTCACCCAGAATTACCAGTAACTTGCTTTTCATGCTGGTTATTTGCTTTTCACTGGGTGCAAGAACATTGCTCAGGGTGAGATGCTGAGCACCACTGATCTCCAGAGTAAATGAAGAGGATAAGCGCTTTGCTTGGAAACATTTGAGAGAGCAAAGAGTAGATGGACATGCTAGCCCTCCCCCGTCCAAATGTAACACAGTTTGTGAATCCTAAAACCTTTTTCAAAAGCTAAGAGTAAATAACCAACTTAGTCTTCAAAGTGATTGTGAGTCAGTCCCCTTCAAAGCATTTGCATGGATTTCTTGAAGTTTCTTTCCAGGGTGTATTCCAAACGTTTTTGTGGGAACAATAAATTCTTCCTGTGTCACATTTAATTTTGGTCCATCAGACTGGCTCTCATTTTGGTTTTTCTTCTGGCACTAAAAGCTAATTTGCCTCATTTAACTGAATGCAGAAATGGCATCCAACGTGACAGCCACTACCCACTTAATAATGGGATATTGTCTTTCCCAACTCGCACTCGCTTTAATTAAAAGCAGAGGGCTGACCCCAGCACTGAACTCTGCACTATCCCTCACTAATACTTTTACACATCGCTTCCCACTACGGCTCAGCAGAGCACATGTGACGCCTTGGATGATCAACTCTGATTGCTTGAGATTGCAGCAAGAGTTGGTATCACCTCATTTGCTGCAGCAGCCTGGCCAGTGACAAGGGGACAGATGCTGGTGATAACTCTGCAGGCTCAGAACTGGAGCAGATTTGGTCTGGGAAACATGTCCATCAGCACTCAGATTTCATGAGAGTTGGAATCAGGTGTCGAAACTTTTAGTCTTTCATGACTGTTGTTAACTCATGTCTTTTTGTGGCTAAATCTGAGATGCTGACATGAATGCTTGGCCTGCTCAGGACCTCTCTTGGTCAGCAAACTTCATGAGTTGCCTGGTGAGCTGGTAGAGCACAGCAACAGCCACCCTGGACAAATTCTGTCCCATATTTCCATAACAAATACCTCAAAACTGAAGTTCAATCTTTCAGAGTTCTTCAGGGGGAGGTAGAGGAGCTAACTCAGGACTTTGTTAAATCTGGGATTGGCAACAAAAAGCACAGAATTTGGCTGTTGTTAATGGCCTCCTTCATCTTTGTCAGAAGAAGTCTATCACAAGCAGATCAACACTTCCTCCCAACTTGGTGTCATCTGCAAACTTGCTGTAGGTGCACTCAATTCCCTTGTCCAGCTTATCAATAAAGATAACAACAGAACAGCCCCAGTACTGACCCCTGAGGAGCACCACTCCTCTGGATACACCATTTCCAGCTTTGCAGAAGGGAGAGTATAAAGGACAAAAAAAAACACATTTCACACCCACAGTGGTCAGATCAGCTAACTGTCATGCAAGCAGATGCAGGTTCAGATAGGTAGCACAGAGTGTAATTACATTTTTCCACTGCAGTGCTATGTATAATGTGTATTTAAAGTAGAAACTGCAGGAGCAGACAGAAATCTCCATTTGTAATTGTTAGCTTCCAGAAACCTAGATTCAATCTCTCTCCAGCATGTCCCAGTGATGAACTGGGCTGGATTTGCATTAGCATGTTGACTTTGCCTGGGAAGCATCTGTGCCTCCTGCTAGAACAGAGATAAGAGCCAGGTTTTGCATGCTTCTTCCAAAGGTGACCCTGGGATAGGAAGATGAAAAGAAGGCTGTCTTGAAAGTCAACACAGAGATCATATCAGCCAGCAATGATGCTGACTCCAGCAAGAAATCTTTTTGCACTCATCATTTCCATCACCCTAGGCAGGAAAATGCATTGTTTGTGCATTTGCCCAGCAAAAATGCTTTTTGCTTTGGCTGAAGCAGAAATGCAGTGGAACAAGTCATGGCACACAGGAGAAAAGTTCTGTTGGTCGATGAGGATGAGCTGCAGTAGTTCCAACCCAAGGACATATCTTAATCCATCCCACGACCTGCTGCTCTAGGTATTCTGCAACTTCTCCACAATTTCTGTCTCTCTTTCAGAGTACCACCCCTGACAAGCTCATAACAGGCAATGAACAAGCAGGCTTTAATGTTTTCTGCTCAGTTCTCACCTTTCACTCACACTTCAGTGCCTCAGCAGTGAACTTCTCACCCTGAACTTCTTCCAGGTTTTCAGACTTTGCAGCGGACGAATCTTAGACTGTAAATCCACGTTTCAGACAGTGCTGTCTCTTGGGCTATTCCCCTCATCATTCCACTGCAATTCACTTTCCGTCAACTACTGAAATGCATGTGTTCACTCTTCTCCTGTGGGAAGGAGAAAAAGGAGGAGACAGTTCTGAAAGGATGGAGGCCATGTGATACAGCAAGAAGAATTAATACTTCACCAGCCTGTTCCACAGGAAAACTGCAGCTCTACCAGCCAAGAGCCAAAAGAAATCCCTCCTCTGATGGCTGGAGCAAAGGTAAGCAGAGAAGCAAAGGAATGTTTGGTTTGGGGCAAGAACTCCAGACTGTGTTCTGCCATTTCTACATCCTGCTTCTTACTCACTGGACCAAGGGTGCTGCAGCCATGAGCCTGGGCACAGCCCATTTGTGAGTGTCTACACACATGGGCAGTGGGATCCTCTTTTCTGATGCTTTAACACCAGGAACAGCACTGGGGGCAGATTCCATTTACAGTTAGAGCTCTGGCCCATGGAGGGTGAGTTAGGTTGGAACAGCAGCTCCTGGGCTGCCCCGGGGGACCGGCTCAATTTTACACAGCCTAGAAGGCAACAGCAGGATGAGATAAATTGTGGCACTGCCTACAGAGTTCTCAGTAAAATAAGTTCATTTTAAGATTGAGTTAGCTGATAGAACAAACAGCTTAGATATGTACTAATATATATATGTGTATATATATACATATATAATTGCAGGGGGGTTGGAACTTGATGATCTTGGAAGACCTCTTCCAACCCAAGCCATTCTATGATTCCTTAATAGAAGTCCCAAACAACAATCTGTTTTAATAGTAGACCACTCTATCTTCAAAGTAACACCCCAGATTGTCACCACAGGGTCCTACAGCAATAAAGAGAGAAGTATTTCTTGTGAGACATTCAAGTAGAATGAAGGCATGGACAGGCACAGTCCTTCACGACATTGCCTCTACTCCCATAAACATCCCAGACTCACACATTTGTCTGCCACTGGCTTAGTCATCACAGATTAAAAAAGAAAACAAGGCAAGACTGGTTGAGCCAGTAGTAGAATTTTGCTAATTAATACCAGCCAGGAGCAGGGACAACGGCTTGGTGCTCAGCCTTGCTGACTGCTCCCACAATAAACCAAAACCATCATTCCAGCAAGAAGGTTACCACAGATCTCTGCCATAAAAGGAATAGGTTGCTCTTAAAATCTAACTGACGTGGATGATAAATGTAAGACTGTCTAAATAAGAAACAGCTCACTTGGCTGATTATCTGTGCTGGCCCCTACTGCTACTGAAAAAGTCCCTCTGAACTACCCAGAGCAAAATAAAAACCAGCTGAGCATCTTTTCTTAGATGGCTAGTATTCACATTCACATCCAAAATTGTCTATCTTGCTGTCTTGCTATCTTGGCTTCATTCTTGTCATGAAACTGGCCCTGAGGTACCAGATTGGGAAGGAAAGGCAAGTGTGTGTTCAGAGCTCTTAAACCTTCAGCTTAAAAATCACACTCACAAATGCAAAACTTTCACCTTCCTAAACATCAGACCGTTCTGCAAGATGAAATGTAAATAAGAGACTTCCACAGGCTAGCTCTCAACAAATGGCATGTGCCAGAAGACCAAGTCTGGTCTGCCTGTAATTAAAGTGGAATCACTTCTAGTTCTTCAGTGTCAACATCTAGTTAACAAGCTTGCTTTTGCAGCCAATCAAATTTATAATAAATAAAACAGCAGCCTCTAGTGTGAGGAAGGGCATAACACCACACAACACTTTTCATTGGAAAAAGGCATCAGACAAAGGGAAGGATGTTTTTCTCCTTAGAAAAATAACATATTGAGCTTCTGGTTAAATGCTTGTATCTCTCCCCAAATCATGCTGCCCCCCTCCACGTCAGCCCCCGTTTTGGGATATCTGAAGTGATCAGAAAGACTGAATGTTCTTAACAACTAAGAGAATCCTGGATTTGCAGTCTAGAGATGTAACAAGTGTTTCCCAAGTCGTTTGAAACAGGGAAACAAAGCTCACTCCATCATCTGTTCTCTGCCTTGTTTCACACATACATGTTCAAACAGCAGCAGCTTGCTACACGTAAGTTGAAAATTTAAGGTTTATTCGAAAAATATTTCATCTTTTATGGTATTGCATATTTTACACCCCCAGTTAAAATGCTTTTTATCACTTTCATTCAAATTCATAATTTGTTAGTAAGTTCCTCATGCAATTTCGACTGTTAACATACTTGCACAGTCAGAATGAGTACCTGTAATAGAAGAGCATCTTACTGAGGGGCAGAGAGTATTTTCAGGAAAAAACAACTCTGTACTGGAAAATCACGGAAGCAACACCATGATGGTACAGCTTCAGGAGTTGTTCCAAGTTCCCTCTCCATCCACCAAGGATTTTCAGGGGATGGAAGTCATGACTAAATATGTCACAAGTCAAGACTTAAAATAATGTATAGCTTAACTGGAATAAATCTCTGCTTTTAATGACAAGCTGTTATTCCTTCCTCTGCCACACCTACAGATTCAGGAACTCTAATGAGTTCGTTCATCTTCGATGCCTGAAAGTACACTTCTGTTTACTGAGAAATCCCTGAGATTAAAGAGCATCAAGCTTTTCTATAATGAGAAATACACAACAGAATAAAGTTTTAAATTTCTTGGATAAAAAATCTCTCACCATGTTTGTATTTTCCACTTCAGTAGAAAAAATAGCAATATAAAAGCCAACATCTATTGCATTATGCTCTGAAGAGGTTTAAAACAAAAGAACTCAAATTAAAACATCTTAAGGTAGATCAAGTCTATTATCTTGGGAGAATGTGGAAGGCACTGGAGCAAATAGCTTCCATTAGCTTTACTCAGTCCCTGTCAGAATTATAAGATGGCATGAATAGTTTGGAGAAACTAACCAGGGAAAGGGAGAGAGAGGCACCACTGACAGTAGCATGTAGGTACACCTACTAACAAGGTACACAGGACTGGTAACTGGTGGTACCACACAAAACTGGCAGTGCACATCTTGACTGGTTGATGGTTTATTGACTCCAGTGGTTCCTGATTGCTTACCCTTCTTTTCCTCCCATTTGCATTTTAACATCCACCTCTAGGAGCAGTCGCAAGCAACTCTACGCAGAAATCTAACTGAAATCAATGTCCATGAGGCTGAGTGCTCCAGAGAAGTTGGAAGTGAATTCATATCCACTAAAAAGTACATCAATACCTACTTTGAGAAAGTGCTGTTGTACCCATCAGACTTAGAAATAGAACAGTCAAACATTCCCCGTGAAAAATAAAAATACATAGCCATTGGCATCAAATTCTGCATGTTCCTTAACTGTAGGCTCAGGTACCCTGAAGAATGAACTCAAGTCACAATTATTCTACTTCTTCTTGATCCAGTGAACTCAAAGCCTTGTCCTGTAATAGAGAAAGAAGAGTTAAAAAATTTAAAAGCAATGATGACTGATCCTAGTTTCTATTCTGCTGGGGTCAGTCCAGTAGAATTTCCTGACCTCACATGCTGTCTATTCCAATGGACATATGCTTTACAGGGGTTTATGAAGTACAAATCTACTAGGACCTCTTGCCTCTCAACAAGGTAGGTAAACAAGTTACAAAGGGCAGCAGCTCTGCACCACTGCTGACAAAAAGCACTTTGCACAGTGCTGTTGAAGATAAATAGATGTTCTTGTGTATGCAGAGGTGAACATAAAACATACCATAAGGGCAGACTGTATGAAGTTATGAACTGCTATGCTGCTCCCAGAACTTGCTAACAGTAGACTTCAGGGAGAAGGTTAAGATTACGTCAAGCATGTGGTGAAGTTTCCTGATGTCTTTCCTGGACCTCAGGTTTTTGTGGTGGAGAGTCTGCCTGTGCCAGGAATAGTGTGTTACGCTGAGCAGCCCTCCACGAATGTCTCCTATTAATTTTTGGATCTATGTAAATAAACAGCTTGCAGCATAGAAGATGTATTTTAGCAAGCAAATCCACAGCTTAAGCACACATTGTGTTCAAGAATAACTTTTAGGTTTGATTTGCATCTGGCCCATGCTAGTTCTGTGAAAGTATGTACTTCTAGATTATGCATGAGTCGAGGGAGGCAAAACTCTTACCCAGCCCCCACGATCACGAATCCAGGGACTGAAGTGCTCTTGGAGGTACTTTAATCCAAAGCCCATGACCAGGTTCATAGGATGGTTGTCCACAGCAGTAAGTCTGGTGGCAACTTCCAGTGCAAAGGCAACTTTGGTGCACTGTAACTGGTCTTCTGTCTCGTTTGTGGAATCTGCTGAGACATTCTCCAGGAATGAATTGGTGAGCCTCTCGAAGAAGGCATAGGACAACATATCTTCAAAACGCTGATAGAAACTCCTGTCTTTTTTGAACTGAAAAATAAGAACAAAGGTTGAGCCGCTTCTGTTGTAATGGCTTTATATTCCCTACTTGGAAAGGAGAGCATCTCTAGATAATATATGCAATACAAGCTGATTGTGGTGTTGAATGCAGATGATACACAAACCTTGCATCTCACTGCAGAGCTATTCCTTCAGGAAATGTCTCTACATTTTTGTCTAAAAAAAAAAACAAAAACAAAACAAAACAAAACACCTTTCTCTATAGCAATTCCTAAAGCTGTAGGTTTTCTTTTCCTCCACTGAGAACAATATGTATGTCAAATTTAACTCAAGCACAAGAGGTTCTCAGAGTCAGTCCAGTGTCCAAAGTCTTGCAAAAGTGAATGGGATTGAGGCAGATGAACCTTTGAAGTACACATCTTTTTGTTGACTTCCTCCTACATTCCAACAGAGATCTGCACTAGTCTTCTAGTTCAAAGATTAAGATTTCAGAATGAATGGTGGTGGATTCAGAAAGCCTCAAATGGTGCAAAGAGAGGTTCAGGATAGAGATAGAGAGGAGGGCTACAAAACATTCACTCCTGGCAAATGTGTAATTTCTCTCTCCACTCTAGCCTGTGTAGCTCTTGAAAGCAGGACTTACCCTTTCTTCTAGCTGATCCCCTGATTTTCTTAACAGTGCAACTATTGTTTGTATTATCTTTTCTTCATCTGTTAAAGAAAAGAGATTGACATAAATATTGCTGTCTTCTAGTAGGATCCAGAGAGCAAAGCATGGCAAAGTCTTTATGTTACTTAATCATGAAGAGATGTTATTTTGTGGCAAATTCACAGAGTATATCCAGGATCTATAATCTCAAAGTTCTAGTCTGCATGGAGTAGGCAATACTTTTTCTCTGCACGATGTTTTGCTCCAGTTAAGAACCTTGGAAGGAGCCTTAGTGTCCTGCTGCCAGCCCTGTAAGCTTTGAGGTATGGCTGATAAGAGAACAAAGCAGCAGATAGCAAAAGCTGAAGAATATGGACTCGAAATTAGTGGAGGAAATTCCTCTCCTGATTGCCAATTGCACTTTCTGCAACTTATTAAAACAAATGCTGGGTTTAACAAATTACAGAAAGTGTAAGCATGACAGGCTCCCTCTTGCAACCAGAAATCCTGAGGAAGCTTGCACTAACTGCAAACTTCTGCAGATGCCATGGAAGACAGGCAGTTCAAACATTCAACAGATGTTGCTGGTCAATCTTGTTCTGTTGCTGAAGAGGGACTGACATCATTGTTCCAGAAGCAGGTCTTTGTCCTAAAAGCCCTAGCAAACTGTTTTGCTCCCAGTCCTGCCACTCCTAAGCTCTGCTCTGACACCTTGTATCACTTTGCTGTCATTCTCCTTTTGCATGTCACACCTGCCTGGATTTTTAAGGATGTTGCTTTTA